AGCTTCTAATCTTGCTTATTTTAATACCCATAATGACTCAAGAGCGTATAATGTACAGTACCAACCTAACAGGGAACACACATCAGCCTCCCACAACACTTGCTACGCGTGTTTGCCTCAGAGAGAAATGCGTATTGAGGATTTAGATGTCCCACGTCCTTGGTTGTTATGTAGAGACAGGCTGACACACTGCACAAGTCTTCTCGTAACATCAGGGAGGCTCTCTCGTTCGGGTCTCATCTGGCTTTTACCTTGTCGCCTCTTGACACATCTTACCGCACCGCATCACGTTCTCGCCACTATTTCTAGACCAGCAACCCCTGCCAGGGAGTGGGCGCCGGCCACTACATATGGTCACTTTTTTTTATGCATTATTATTCATATTTTATTTTTGTATGTTGAAAATGTCACTTCAATAGATGTCATATTGATGAATATAAAGAACCATGACATCATTTTTGTTAATATGTAGGAGAGATGTGTACTGGTTATAGAGACTACAGTATCTGATGTTTATATTCAAGACAAGTATACTGTACACAGGCCGTCAGTAAGTCATTACTCATTAATTCTAAATGAAGCCCCACATGCTACTCCCATTTATATTCAGGACAATACAATAACATTTTAAATGAATACAAGACACGATGCAGTCACAGTTTTATACATGTAACATTTCTTCCAGGATTTTGTTATATATATAATGGCAACGTTGCCATACATTTGTTTCTGATAAAATTCTCATTTTCTACAAATCAAAGATCGCTGAAAAGGATTTCGTCGACAACTATCCAAGGCGTTTTTTAACATCCATGAAATATCCTGATGCAGAGGATCCCTTTAGAACGGTGAGTGAGGGGCGTGACCGTAGTGGATGGCTCCTGTGAGGACCACCACGCCCGCCCCGCACGCCCACAACACCAACATAACTCATACTGTCTCCATAGTCGTTCTTTTGGGTCAATTTCTGACATCGTCACGACTTGTCTAATACATTTTTCTATAGTAGTTTTTTTGGTTAACGTGTTATTTAAGGTTTACAGCAGCTGCTCTAAATCACTGCAGCTGTTAACACTCGTATGATAAGCTTCACTCTACTCATTATTATGTTTCAGGTCTGCTTTCTGCTCACACGCTCTCTTGCTTATTTAGTAGTACTGACACGTTATCAAATTAACTCATTTCATTTTATATAACCAGTCATTTTATTTTCTGTATAAAATACTGTATTGTTGTTTGTTTTACTAAGCTGTAAACATCAGCAAAACTTTTTCTGTTTTGTTACTGTGTCTATCTTAGTGATTTTCCTTTAATTTCGTAGTTATTTTAATATAATTTTCTGATATACTCTTGAACAAACTTAGTATACAGTTTTGTTACATTCAACATGTTGAAATAAGAGCAGTGGAAATCCTCACTGATATAATAATATAGGGACGATACTTGGCTTTTATTCTTAGATGTGTGAGATTATGAGCCAGCTGAACACTGCCAGAGTGTAAGTATGTGTTTATGGTTGTCTTGCAGGAGGATTATTGCGGGTTCATGCCCTACACCCCATCCGTGGCGGCAGTCAGGCGTCGGCTCTAACCTCCCTCCTCCCGCACCGTCACTCTTTCTCTCTCTTTCTCTCCTTCATCCTGCCATGTTCTTCACCGCCACAATCTGAACTTTTCACGTTAAAAGAACCTGTAAAAATTGCATAAACATGCGGCACAATTACTGACGTTCGGTGTATTGGTGCTAACGATAAAAAAATTACCTAATTGATTTATATAAATATATTTTCTGTTGGCTCTAATAAGAAATAAATTATATGGGTTTATTATAGAATTATGGAGTTAGCTGACGAGGTAGACCGTGCTGTGTGTGTGTGTGGAGGTCCTGCAGCTCCTCGTCCTGGTGGTGTCCTCACTAAACTGGACTCTCACTCAGCTGAGATACAAACACTCGTATATGTCTCATAACCCCTCAGCATACCACCGTGACCACCACCAACACGTCACAATTAAAACGCAGAGATGACAACACTTGCTGTACACTCTTTTCAGGTACACAGTTGTCATTACGTGAGAAGACATAGAGAGTTTATGTTGATGAAAGGTGAGGACAGCAGGACGCGGGTTGACACACACACACACACACACACACACCTCACTCTAACCAGCTGTTTTATCATGAGATTCTATTCGTTTCTACTTATAAACTTAACGCTTGAGTTATATCCATATACATACATACATATATACATACATATACTGTGTACTATACATAATATGCAGTATATATGTATAGGTGTACTGTGTAAGTTTTATGACAAGTTGTCTTTATTTAGTTCGTATTAATGACATAAACATTATTACTTATAATTGGATTATCTTTAAGTGATCTCATTCTGTTTTTAACAACAATCTTTCGTCTCTGATTATATATTTATGTTTGGAACTAATTTGATGTCTGTTGTTTTACTTGACGTTTCTTTGCGATTTCTTCAATGCTTTCGGCTAATAGACTAAAGCGACAACACCAGTGTCTCCAGTAGAGCTTTAACCTTTCTCTCAGCCTCTCCTTGTGGCTTCCAAAGTAGAGGTTCCAATGCTTTTCTTCTGGGTCTTTTATTCCTGCAGTTTTGTCCAAGATGTTTGATGTTCCACTTCCTCTTTAAGCATCTTTATTCTTAACTATTGTAGGTTTTTCTTCTTTCTCTTCTTCTTTAATGTCTTCTTCTTCAGTGTCTTTTTCTTCAATATTCCGCCATCTCTCAGAAGGTCTCTCTCTTGCTGTAGATGTCTCTATACTCCTTCAATGTCATTAATTTTTCATCCATCCATCCATAACACAACCCAAACTCTCCTCATCTACAGCTACCTCTAGTCTCCTTCAGTATTATCCTTTCTTTCTACAGTAGTATCTTATCCTCAAGTAGTTCTCCTGTCCGCCCTTTAACTTACTTTACTGTGTTCATCACCCACGTCCACGCCGGAGAGGATACAGTGTCCGTCACTGCTGGACTTTAGGCTTCACACAACCTTGTGAGTTGTGGTTCTGTGTGTCGCCTGTTGTATGTTGTGGCGCTCAACTTGGTCTAGCATTATTTTTTAACCTTTAAATTCTCTCCTCTCACCCACCATCTCCCCCCACCTGAGGCCCTACACCCCTCTCTCCCTCACTCTCTACAACGCTAATGACGAACAGGATACAGTTTAATCCCTGAACGTGAACCATCTTCTTGTGGTGAAGAGTCTCGCCCTCAAGCAACTAGACACCTGACACTGTAAATAACATAGATGACACACCTGCTGGTGCTCACACTAGTACCCGCGACTGACACCTGTTGATACTCTTAAAGGCCAACTCTGATTTACTTTCTTTGTGAGTGTCATAACTTTGAAGAATCAGTAATGGAGTCTGATAGTTCAAAACAATCCCATAACAATACGTGATTGATCAATGAGCCCCAGTCCTAATAGGCCCCAGTCCTAATAGGCCCCAGTCCTAATAGGCCCCAGTCATAATAGGCCCCAGTCCTAATGGGCCCCAGTCCTAATAGGCCCCAGTCCTAATGGGCCCCAGTCATAATGGGCCCCAGTCATAATGGGCCCCAGTCATAATGGGCCCCAGTCATAATGGGCCCCAGTCATAATGGGCCCCAGTCATAATGGGCCCCAGTCATAATGGGCCCCAGTCATAATGGGCCCCAGTCATAATGGGCCCCAGTCATAATGGGCCCCAAAATTGACAGAACCCAGTCCTAATGATTAAGGTCGGTTGAACCTTTTAAGACCAATGTACAACCTGGACTATAAGGCACCACTAAGCTTGTTTCTTTGTGTTCCTAATTATCTAAATGAAACATCCATAGACGAAATACTTATGATCAGTAATATAAACTTACGCATGTCCAACACCAGTGCCTAGGTCACCCCAGCCTAGGGTCGCATCTCACCGCCTCAAAGGATTTTTGCCTAACAATAACAATGGTCTCTTTCACCATTTTTTCTCTCGGGCATTTTCCTTCCCATTTTCTTCCGAGAATGACTGCTTGCAACCTCTGCATGAATTTTGTTTTGATTTTGCATTTCTGTGTTTTTATTGCAGTGTGACACCGCCTTTTGTTGTGCTTCAGTTAATATTCGTCATTATTTCATTATATTAACGTTCGGCCATTTTGGATATCATGGTCATTCGTTACTTATGTTCACTAACAAATGTAACCAACTTGGGCTTAAGTTAAATTAGTCACCTTCCTTGTACTTCACAGATACAACATTGTGTTTTCCAGAGAAATATTCAGCGATTTACATTCAAGTTCTTCTGTTTTAAAAATTAAATGCCACGACATTATTACCTCTGTGTCGTCAATATATTCTTCAAGGGGTGAAAGGCCTCCATTAATGTACTACACCATTACAAGTGGTGGCTGGGCATTCCTCTCCATACTATTGTTGTTCTTAATGTAATCGTCGCTTTTAATATTGTTATTATCACTCCTATTATTATAATTGTAATTATTTTTATTAGAACTGTTATTGTTGTTATACCAAGTTGTGTATCAGAATTTAGTTATCATCTCCCACACCTGCCTTATACACCATGCAGGTCAAAGAATCATTCATACTCTGTTTTCACCAGTGTATCATTCTGGTCGTCGTGATGTTCAGTCAGTCAGTTAGAATGTTTCATGGACGTGACCTCTGCCGTCCTGTTCGACTGAAGGTGACTTTTGGATGGGTTCTGAGTGACCTTGGACGTGACTCTTAATGGACTATGACCTTTGATTTGAATCTTCCATCGATGTGACTACTATCGGCCGTCTCCACTATTGGCTGTGACGCTCACTGACCTCTGACCTAGCTATAACCATTCATAATCTACATCACACCTACATAACTTGCGAAGCGGTGGTGGTGGTAGTGGTGATAGTAGTTAACTCTGCCTTTAACCATTGAACAAAGGCTACTTTACCCCCTGTTGTGCTGACCTTGAGATTGGTGTTGCAGGAGACGCAGAACATGGAGCCCTCCTCCGTGCCCCCTGTCATCCGGCCACCCATCAGGGCCTCCTCGCCGATGAACCCAGACTTCGAGATGCCACGAGCCCTTACCAGCCCCTCTGATTTCGAGCGACAGGCTGATGACATCATTGCTAACTTCCGCGCCAGACAGGGAATGCCCCTGGAGGTGAGTACCGGAGGGTGGTGCAGGCAGGAGTGAAGGGGGAGAGAAAACAAGTGAGGGAGAGGTCTGTAAGAGGGAGTGAATGAAGAGAAATGGTTAGGAGAAGAATTAGATGGAGATGGCAGCGTGAGGGAGGTCAGAGTGTGCCTCGTAGGGTGATGGAGGAGAGTGAGGGAGAGGAAACAGCTTGAAGGAGAAGAAACTGAAGAAGAATGGACATGGGAAGATAGATACGAAAATAAATTTGAAAGGAAGTTGGGAAGAGGGCGATAGAAGGGGAGGAAATGAAATAGATTGAGGAATAAAAAGAAGAAAAATGATGGCATAAGAGATGTACTAAAGAGAGATGATGGGCCGACATAAAGAGGAAAGCAAGAGGATAGAATGAGAGGTACAAGGAGGGAGGATGAAAGTATGAGAAATGAAAGGGGAGAGAAACGATAGATGAAGAGGGAGAAGACGAAAGAACGGAAAGTGGAAATAATTATACTTAAGCTGTCATTATTGTGTTCTATATGGAGTGTTGTAGCTGTCAGGGTCTTTATCCATCTTTAAATATCAAGGTGTTAATTACATTTTCAACCTTAAACATTTTCTTAAAGTTCAAGAATGATTATGATTGTCTTTGCCTTATGATTTAACAAATTAATGTTAGTTATTAAAGAATTATTTAGTCATACAGGTGCGCAAAGAACAGGATTCCATTGCCACTGAGAGATTGTGTCCAGGTTAATTGACATAGATCACCTGAAGACTTTCCCGTTAGCTTATTTCACCTGAACATTAACCTAACCTAACCTAACCTAACCTAACCTAACCTAACCCTATCCTTCCAAATAGTCTGAGGGTGGTAAATCTTTAGGTGAAATAAGCTTTGGGGAGAATCTTCAGGTGATGCATTGTTTTATTATAAGATGTTCTACTTTAATCTTTACTGAAATCTTGCATTATATTATGTGAAGGAGCGAGGTAACAGGCAGGGATCCACTGAGAACTAAAATCCAGGAAATTTCACTGAGGAAAAGTGGGAGACGAATAAGAGTCCTAAAAATTCTCCAGGCGATCTTGATGTTGACTCGAGGATTAACTGTGTTTTATATTTACCCAAGAACCAGATTAAACCCCTTTATAAACCCTTTAAATGGCCAGTTCACAAGACTAGTTAAGACCCTTGTATTATCCCTAGAACCAGTAATTTGGGGACACTAAGACCCCATACACCACAAGACTAGTAAAGTCATCAGTGTTAATCGAAGTCCTGTAAATACACGTGTATAATAAGTCAGATTATAACTATACTCCTATTATTAACGTCACTAAGATCTATTAACACACAAGTAAAAGAAGATGTGAATATACACTCAGATAATACAAGGATATAGACTCATACACCAACGTCAAGAATTAAGGTCTACTGTATTAATAAAACAATATAAAACCGATTGTATCCCGTATATGGCCAATTAACAAAGCATTTCAAATCCATTTATAACCCCCACCCCTTCAAAACAAACCCCCCAACCCCTCCAGAAGGCAAGGTAAGCCCTCCACCCCCAACAACCATGCAGACCTCTCTCCCCCACCCTCCCCGAGCCTAGACGTTGGCGGCGAGATGGACAATCAGCTCTTGAGGTCGTTCACTTGGGTGAGACAACAACCACCCCTTAATGACAGGGAACAAACGCACCTCTTGATTATGTCATTCAATATAAATATTATTATTTTTGTTTTCATTTTAAAGATAAAATTTAAATCTTAAGTTAGTGTGTAAACGGAGAAATTAATTCTTCATTAACGTTAATCTGATTAGAAAATGAGGTTAAATATCGGTGTTTTTAAGGCGTTTTGGTCAGCTAACATTAAGGAGAATATGACCATAGGAAACAATAAAATTATTGATTTTGAGGAATTCTTGACCTCATTATAAATACAATGTATTAATGAACTTCCGTATAAAGGGGCGTTGTTTCTCTTGTAGCTCAGGGTGTCATCTTATGTGCAGATTAAACTTAATGTATACTTAGAGTGTAATAAACAGACAGACAGACACAGACATGTATTCAGTAAAATCGTCACCCCTAGATGTGTATTTCTAGTTGTATGGCTAACACGAGGAATCACAGTTGGTGGGAGTTGCACAAAGTGACTCTCCATGAACGCTTTACGGCTACTCAGGCTTCCCTTCCCTCCCCAGCATGAAGGCCACACCTGACCCTCACATGCCAGTATCACGTATAGTATACAGTATAGCTACTAGTAAATCCCTCAGTATAATGATTCAATACTTCCCATTTTGGTCCAATGTGACTGAGTCCTCCAGATGTGAGGAGTTCTAATCATGGCGTTGGTAACTTGGGAATAAGATAATTTATCCCTTATAGGTACTGTAAGAGAAAATAACCTAATGCTGCTGCCATCTATTTTTATGGTGGTGAGAAGGGATGGATTCCAACCAGGACCTGCTCGTGCTTCTTCTCAAAACTACTCTTTGCCTGAGACTTAGGACTTTGGTTTGTGGGACTTCGCTGCTATCACGTGAAGGATCCTAGATTAAATGTAGGTCCTGTGAGGCCTTGGCCCCTTGTCGAGTTATTTTTTCTTGTGGTTTTTCTGCTTTTTCTTTTTCAAATAGTGAGAGCCTTAAGCAGTGTCCCTTTAACGCACCAAACTCTGTTGCTTGGTAAATAATTCTAACTGTTGAATGATCTTTTATCTATCTGTGTACAAGAGTGCTTTGTCACGAGATAAATTGATCATTGACCGAAAGAGAAAACACTGAGGTAGCGTTTACCTGTGTGAGTGTGTGAGTGTGTGTGAGAAAGAGAAAATAGATAAACAGAAAAAAAGACAATAAGAATACACACTTAATAATAGAAGACAAACAGCTGAGATTATTTAAAAACCCACTTAAAGGAATAATGATACCTGGAAAACGGTACTCATCTGCAGCATGTAAACTAGCAATGTATACTGAAGGTGTCCCGCTTGCCTCACCCAGTGAACGACCACACTGTTCTCCGCTCAACTTCCTAGGGCAGCCCACCGCCCCATAATTATTGCTCTTATAGTCTCAAGTCCCTCTTTCCAGTCGGCCCGGGAGGCGATCCAGTATCTGGACGACACTTACGGCAAATACTCAAGCAGCTTGCGTCGGGAGGTACCGGCCATGTCTGCTCTCTATACCGTTATCTTTTTATTTATCACTTATTCGTTTATTTACTTGCTTATGTTTTCGTTTATAGCGCTGATTTTTTTTTTACTAGATGGGTTGATTAAGCAGCATGTGGAAGGCTGTAACACACAAACACACCCCTAACACAAGACGCTCTTCCCCACGACAGAAGACGTGCAGGTCTAGGATCAAAGTTGTCAGTGCTCGCACCGCTCCTGGGATATGATGGTTTTATTAAAGTGTTCACAGGTCACTGAGCCTCAGGGAAGTACAACTGTCACTTGCAGAAAGTACCGTAAATTTTGTCTGAAATCCATCAATCAATGAGATTCTTGATTTTAAAGAGAATTGTAAGACAGTCAAAGCATTTTACTTTATCTTCAAAATACATATACATGTGAATTATATTTTGAATTTCCAGGCGACGAATCGATAAAATTCTTGTTTGATACGTATAGGCCTACATACAGGCCAACGTATAGGCCTACATACAGGCCTACATACTAGAGGGATCCTAAAATTTCAGCAGAAATAAAGGATATTACAAGAAATAATGTTTTAGTTGGGAAAATATGTAACTCGTCTGTTCTCATTGTTGTCTCCTTGCGAGGGTTAGCGGGCGATGCAAGGCATCCTGAGAAGACACCAGCCTGACCTAACTCCTCACTCTGTAACCTACCTCTCCATCCTTTATAAAGACCGTCTACCCTAGTTGACTCTTAACATGAACGTGTTCACTGACGACAGTGTTTCCCCACAGACTTTTGACTCTATTGGTTTATACAAGATTACATTGACTGACGATCAACAAAACACGAGATTGGATTAACTAAGTAGACTGCTTGAGGCAGAGTCTGAAAATGTTTATATTTAACCCTGGAAAGTTGACACAAGCATGAGTATTGATAAATCAAGTAAATGTGTCCCTAATATATTGACTAATACCCTGTACCAGCATCACAGTCCTCACATCTGGCTACTTTACTGAGGCAGATAGTGTACTCGTCCAGTGTATCACCAACAGTCTTGATACAGTGTAATTTGCTCCACTCGAGGTCACTACTTCGAGAATATGTTACCATAAGACAAGGTTTAGTGAGTAACATGTCCAGACGACCCTCACCTCCACATACACGCACCACCGCCCCAGACACAGTGGTGATAACCTTCCACAACGCATGGCTATCAACCCGACCACTAGTATGTTCTCCCGAGCAACAAGGAGGCATGTTAGTGTTTATCTTTGGTTATATTTTCCCAGAAACAAAAGTTTACTGAAAAAAAAACGATAAATAAAATCGTCACGAACTTCGGACTTCAGTGAGGTTGACTTGTATTTTACAAAACGCATTTTTGTTCAGTAAAGTTTCTCATTTAGTCGAAGGTGATTTTTCAAATTAGAAAAACAAGGAAAAATAGCATAAAGTTTCTCTGCCTTTTACAAAATAGAAAGTGATCTATTCTACTCTTTTTTACTGTTCCTTCCTAATGCTAGGTTACGGGAGCCCGCTCGTGATGAGAATCCTAAGGTTTTGAGAACTTTCTTTGATCCTTGACCAACTTCCTATCTCCTACGCGTGGATATTACATTATTTGTTCACCTGATTCACAATATTACCGTTTTACTTCTAATCCTTTTCCTTACAGAAATTAATGTGGCGTTTATAAATACCCAACACAGTATCAGTTGCATGTAAGTTACTGGCAGCTCTCTGGAGACTACTGTGACCCTCCCTCTCTCATGTACTCTTCTCTCTGCTGAATGGCCTGTTTATCCATGCTTCTGCGGCTGGTAGCATTGATGATGAAGCTGAGAAAGAATTAAATAGTGATGATTCTATTCCTCAGACTGTGTCGAAATTTATCTAATGGGGTTGTAGATGAGACCTCAGAATATCAAGTATATTGGGAGATTAGATTGTTTTGTTAGCCGAGGAAGAGATTCATTATTAACAGATAAATCCCTCCACAGGAACAATTTCTCACCAAATTACTGTTAACTTTTTCAGCTTTAATTATGCACATCGCCCCTTGACAATATACTTTCGTAAGTGTGCATGGAAACATAACACTTTAGTATGATTTTTATTTTGTATTCATTTCCATTTTTAATATAATGTTAGCTTTATATTCGAGATTAACCTTTAGAACTGCATCAAGGTGCATGAATCCATAATGCAGCAGAGACTACGTCATACTGAGGCAGCAGACGTGAGATTCACGTCAAGCTGTGATGTTGACGATGAACGCTCAGGGTAAGACACATTATGGTTCAATTAAACTGAGGAAACGCAGCAACGAAACACACATGAAGCTTTTGCAGTGTTCTCATGTCAATAGCAGTTAGCCTCAGCTAGTATGAATAAAGATGATGACTGATGTTCAGTTTTTAGCTGTGGTCCTTAACACGGCACTCAGGATCAGCACGACTAGCGCTGGTCTTCGAGAACATGTTAACCTTCATGGTGAGGTGTTTCGCAGTCTTTAGTAGTAGAGCGACATGCCCGGCACGTACTCTCACTCTGGACGTAAGAGAACCAGCCGACCTACTCAGTAAGAATATAGTGTGATAAGACTGCAGTTCCCCCTTGGCTCCCAACAGGCCTCCTCCTCAGCTCTTGCCACGGCGGGGGGGTCAAAGGCTTCCCTATTCTCCTCCGGCGCCGCCTTGGCCTCGACCGAGCTGAGCGCAGCAGCCAAGGAGGAGTCATCCATGTTGTCCTCAACTTCGCGGGTATGTCCTTACCACCTCCAGCAATTCCTCCGGGTGCTGGCTCTTCCAGGACACCCGCAGAGTCGTGTAGTAGCTAAAACAAGGACGGCGTTCCCTTGGACTATTATATTGTGTCATGTCCGTCTCGTTGGTGTTGTTTACTGCGGTGACTCATTAGTGCTGCCCTTCACTTCCTCACTTCTACTTCACTTTTTATCTCTTATAAAAGTTATTCCAGATTCATTAACTACTTTTCTTTCATATAATTTTCTCTCTCGGTGTCTTATTTGTTCCTTCTTGTAATATTCTTGTTTATCATGCACAGTAGTTCTGTTTCGTCGTTGTCTCCAGTCTCTGTATTTCCACGTTCTGTTAGTGTAGTTAGTTCATGTGTGCGTCGTGTGTTAGAGTAAGGACATGCACTCCTAGATCATGGTCGTGTCAATTAAAGTCCTTCGTTACGGAAATAAAGAGTCAAGTGTCTCGTATGAACGTCGTTTGTGCCACTAGTCGTCACCATCCCACTTGTCTCCGTGCACAGACGTTGCAAAGAGTGTCATCAATACATGTGTGTCTTTAGTCACACAAAACAGTCAGAAGACAACATATCCACAAAGAATGCATCTATAACAAAACCCGAGATTCACCCACCACCAACACCGAACCACTCTGGTTGCGCAAAAAATCTTTCCCATGTCTCAGTCTGTCCCACATTTAGTTATTACGTAATATATAAGTCAACCTGCGTTTCATGATCGTAAAGTCAACTTCCATTTCTTCTATTGACTGTGTTGTGTCTACACCAGCTAGCTGAGTGACGTTGTGAACATAACTCTCACTTGTCTGACTCTGTTATGGATTCTGCTGACCTTTAGCCTCTGTAGTTTTTTTGTGTAGTTGTGTTGAAGAACTAAAAAAACATAAATAAGAGTGTTAACTAATTCTACAAACTTCTGATAGTTTCAGAAAAAATAAAATGTAATATTTTTTTTAACTGCTAAATAAATTAAGTCTCTACATTAATGATCTAACTCAAGTGGATTGCAGTTCATCTTTTAGTAAAGCTTGACAACTCTCTCTGCCATAACACATCGATACTAACACCTCACACCGGAAGCTACCGCTCACAGGATGAGTATGGGGTGCACATTAAAGTAGCTGCTGTAAGCGCCACACCCGAAGGGCTTGCTGCTCTACAGGTCTCACCGTTTCTCTCACCATTTCTCCCTTAACAACAAGTGCACGATTTTTTTTTATTTCATTTTATTTTCTTTTGATTTCAGTCAGCTAACTATTACCTGCCATGGGGTTACCTTGGCGGGGAGAGGGGCCGACATTTTCTAGCTTCCACACAATATTAGCAAAAGGTGATGGGACGTCACACACGCAAGCTCTCTCTCTCTTCCATTCCTTCACATCAAGATTATTACTATCAGGAGCAGCTTTCCTGGCATCATGTTGAAGGGGATTTGATATACATTTTCACCACTAAAGTAAAAGAGGAGACAGTTAACACCGTCTCCTGCGCTCTGTAAAGATTGTTGTCAGACATTCAGATCCTCACCAACAGCGTCCACTGTAGGTAGTAATAATATGTTGTGGATTAATTGGTAGCAGAACAAGTATGTTAGTTGTAATGTTTGGGAATACTTTAGTAGACGTAAGGAACTTGACCCATTAGTGGATGAGGACCTCAGGCATGTCACCTCTAAGATGATTCACTGTTGCCAAAATGCACGTGAGTAGTGCACATAGTGTTTATATGTAGTGCTGGAGAGAGTACACACTGGGGGGTGGTACACACTACCATCACAGGTACACACTGGGTGGTGGTACACACTACCATCACAGGTACACACTGGGGGGTGGTACACACTACCATCACAAGTACACACTAAGGGGGTGGTACACACTACCATCACAGGTACACACTGGGGGGTGGTACACACTACCATCACAGGTACACACTGGGGGGTGGTACACACTACCATCACAAGTACACACTAACACACTACCATCACAGGTACACACTGGGGGTGGTACACTACCATCACAGGTACACACTGGGGGTGGTACACTACCATCACAGGTACACACTGAGGGGTGGCACACTACCATCACAGGTACACACTGGGGTGGTACACACCATCACAGGTACACACTGGGGGTGGTACACACTACCATCACAGGTACACACTGAGGGGTGGTACACACTACCATCACAGGTACACACTGGGGGTGGTACACACTACCATCACAGGTACACACTGGGGTGGTACACATTACCACAGGTACACACTGGGTGGTGGTACACACTACCATCACAGGTACACACTGGGTGGTAGTACACATTACCATCACAGGTACACACTGGGGGTGGTACACACTACCATCACAGGTACACATTGGGTGGGTACACATTACCATCACAGGTACACACTGGGGTGGTACACATACCATACACTGGGTGGTAGTACACATTACCATCACAGGTACACACTGGGGGTGGTACACATAACCATCTCAGGTACACACTGGGGGTGGTACACATGAACCATCTCAGGTACACACTGGGGGTGGTACACTACCATCACAGGTACACACTGGGGTGGTACACATTACCATCTCAGGTACACACTGGTGGTCAGGTACACACTGGGTGGTAGACACATTACCATCACAGGTACACACTGGGGGTGGTACACACTACCATCACAGGTACACACTGGGTGGTAGTACACATTACCATCACAGGTACACACTGGGGGGTGGTACACACTACCATCACAGGTACACACTGGTAGTACACATTACCATCACAGGTACACACTGGGGGTGGTACACATTACCCTCTCAGGTACACACTGGGTAGTGGTACACACTACCATCTCAGATACACCCTGGGGGTGGTACACATGACCATCTCAGGTACACACTGGGTGGTAGTACACATTACCATCACAGGTACACACTGGGGGGTGGTACACATAACCATCTCAGGTACACACTGGGGGGTGGTACACACTACCATCACAGGTGCACACTGGGGGCTGTGGTGAGAACAGTTCTCTGAGACAATCAAACACTGTGACGGTATGAACAGTTTAACAGTAACACACACACACGGGAGAGGGCGTCTAGGGGCTCCGTTAGACTATCACCGTACACTACCGTACATGTTTTCATGTACAAAGTCACGCATGCTTCACTCTGTACCATGAAAAACGTAATTAATAATACTGCCCCATGAACGCACCACAGACTCTTATAAATATCAAGTGTTCCACACTGTACCCTGTTCTACCTCGGACGTCCCAAGTGTTCCATGCTGTACCCATTTGTACCGTAGACATCCCAAGTACAATGATGGATCACTATACCATGGTATTCTGAAGATTTTAGTTTACCATAGTACACTTTGGTTGTCCAAGTGTCCCTAGCTGTGCAATATTGTACCATTAACACCTACGTGTACTATACTACACGACCCCTGGCATACAAATGGGCTTTTAGAGGTTTTTACATCATGTGTAAGACCACACTGTGACACTAGTGACCACGTCTATTGTTCTGTTCTTCACACAGTATTCGGTTTGAGAAAGTTTACTTAAAACATGAGAGTAAGTTTAGATGTAAAGTTTAAATACAGCAATTTACCCCTGTAACATAAAAGAGTAATTCATGCAACTACGTGGACAGCCAAGTGTACCTTGGTACAATTATGGACACTTGATTGCTTCATATTGCACCATCAACACCCTGGATGGCCACATTGTACCACGTATGTGTACCGTAGCATACCCTGAACATTTCACGGTACCATATCGTAGTTTAATTACAAGATGATGTCACACTGTACCGTGGACAATGTTGCCAATGTTGTCATGCACACCACACAGTCAACAACACCAGAGTTTGGATGCACTGATCACTGCATGTTACATAGTGTGTCTGCTAGTCGGTGTTGACCCGGGTTTATGTTTGGTAATGATGCTTTCTTTTTTTTGGTCTGGATCTTATGTTTTTCTTGTTTATTTTGTTTTTTGTTTTAAGGATTATTGATATTTTTCCTTAGGTAATGATTATTTATAACTATAATGCATTACTGTAGTACTTATTATAACTATAAATCTATGACATATTGTAGAGGTTTGGTAGACGTAAATGTTAATTATATTCATTTTAAAGAAACTTAATCTTCATTTCGTTGTTATTTATTAATGTGGAATACAATTGTATCGCTGTTGATTTGATAAAGTACAGTAACTATAATAAATTGTCAAGTAAAAGAGAGACACGCATTAGTTCACTACTGTTGGTGCTGATGGTCGTCTCTCCCCACAGGTCAGAAGGACACTGAGGAAGGTGGCAGAGGACGACTTCTAAATAGTTGACGAAAAAGCTCCAGAACGAAACATCCATCCCTCGATTCATCTATCAATCCATCCCCCTTTTATCCGCTAGTCCACAACAAACTGGATTTTAGGGCAACGACTGACTGCTGGTTATAAGGGCGGATCGCACGAACGATCAAACAGGCTCCTGACTTCGACGTTTTAACCGCCTATCGTCGAACGCGTTGGGCAGAGGGGTCACGGGTCTAACGACGTCTCTTCACAACTGCGAGGACGCCTCCGGAGACATTCAATAACTCTTGTTGTAATGTGTGACGCAGCCGGAGACTTGTTTACACTTGCTCTCTGGGTTCGGATGTGTTGGCTTTTTCACCCATCGGTACAGAAGCATATCACTGAAGGCTCTGTAAGTCGTCACAGGGTCTCAGGCTCCGTCACGAAAATAGAATAAAAACAAAATAAAATAAAACATAACAGCTTCACTCAGAGAAATATTAAAAAAAAGGCACAAACTCTGCTCAAAAATGGAGACTGTTTTGTCTTGTTAATTTTTGTTGAGCATTTCATACAAAAATTCCTCTTGATTAAATTTCTACAGATTTTTTTTTAAAGTTTGTATTCGAATTAATTTTAATTTAAGCTCTATCACATATATCCATAAATATTTTGTATATAACATTGGCAAACATTGGTCAAGCACTGACAGGTTTGATAAAAAAAATGGATAGGGAAAATAGGCTGTATTTTTACTCCTAGAAATTGATTTGGGTTTGTGTGTGTTGGTGTGTAACAATGTTCCTCAACACACCTATAGAACACTGACGAACAATCGTTCTATCAAAAACTGACTTAGCAGTTTTACTTTATTGTCTTTTCGTGCAGAATAAATATACACAAAGTTTAATGTCATGGTATTGTTTTCCTTCTTACCGTTAAGTAAAACTGTACCAGAAAACAGAGAAGCAAATTCGTTTATAAACACACATACATACATACATACATACATACATACATACATACATACATACATACATACAGTACATACATACATACATACATACATAAGTACGTTCATACATACATACATACATACATACATACACACACACACATACACATACATACATACATACATACATACATACATACATACAAACACACATACATACCCTTACATACATACATACATACATGCATACATAGACCAATATCCTGCTAAATCATTTGTAAGAACAAATGGTACAGCGTCAAGAGGTAATTATGGTATCACTCCCCCGATACACTGCGGTACATATAGTAACACTGTACACGAAGGCGATGAAGAGGAGCACTAATATGCCCACAGTGTAACACCTCACTAGTCTCTACAGAGGACTTCTCTGGTGATGGTAATATACTGTACCTCTAACAGCATGACCCCCGTCTGTCTCACAATAACTACAGGTTCCTTAATGTCTTCATTACCCAAAGGGAAGATAATTTACTGTAGTTCATGTTCATGCAAACACCTTGCATAGATTGCGAATCACTACAGGGCACTCCGCGTTACAGACAAAGTCTGCCATAGAGCGCTTTGTTGTCTGCTTGTCTTAATGTACGACAAGGAGACATGTAGGCTAGAAGCAGATGGTACCATGAGATTCTGCACAGATTTCAGACTAGTGAATACATAAACCAGAAAAGATTTTTATCCTATTCCCTGGTTAGATGACTACATTGATCATGATGGTAAGGCAAAGTATGTAACAAAGATTGACTTGAAAGGTTATTGGCAGGTACCCCTCACAGAGCGAGCCAAGCAAATTTCTGCTTTTGTAACAGATGATATTTTTCATTATTGCATATTGTTATTCTCGGATTAAGTCAAGATTTACTTGATTTAAAAATGTCGCAAAAACGCGCCTCTTATATAAGCGCTCTCTCCGTCTACCTGCTACCATTCGTTGACCTTAACGGAATCACCCCTGCCTCTTAGGGTTAATGAATACACTCGCTCACCAGCCGCCGTAGAGTATAGTCACCACCGGCTCCAGTGTTTCTGTCCTCCAAAAAAATAGACAAGGAGTCTGGAATATAACTGGTTCTTATACAGGAGCACACGGATATATTTCTTCTGCCAGGTACGCAACTCACCATCTCTTAGGACTTAGTATAGCTAGATATACTGTTATTATCAAGCACGTTAATTAAAGTAAGGTATTCGAATTGGAATGAGTCAAGTGTAACTATCTAACCATGATGTAAAAACAGATCTACCAAGATATTATGGGAAATTCTCGGCGTGATGGACCGATTGTTACGCCCTTGGCTGCGTAAGACATTCTGGTTGTTTTTGTATTATTATAGAGACTCTTTACATCCACAGTGTCAATACCCATAAACAAATTGTAGCTCTAGTAGAAGTGGATAAGTCAAAGCGCTTCCAACAAGTTTCTAATTTTTATTTTCCAAGTTTTTTGTAATTGATATTTACTGTAGATATGGGTCGAGGCTCTGTTTCTACAGTAGAAAACCGTGCTCTGACTGGTCTTTCGAATTGTGCTGTGATTGGTCGGCGGAATTATGCGCTCGTTTATTGTAAGCTTAGTTGTTGCTTTTTGTATCTCTTTATATGTATTAAGGAAAGTAGTTCTTCCTGTGTGTTAAGGAAGGTAGTTCTTCCTGTGAAACAAAACTGTTTTGATGTATCTGTCCAACTATAGATCTGATTATTATTTTTAATCTTACTTATAAAATTATTTTATTGAAATGAATTATTTTGAGAGACGATTACAGACACTATTTGCATCTCCATATGTATGACCAAACCTACACCATAAGTTAATGAAACATAAACAACTGTTCAGGCATTCTACAAGAGTAAGTTGACCAAGTGCATTATTCAATAGACGATGGCACAACATCCCCTCCATAACATTATCGTTGGTTCACTCAAGAAGCACAGCTCTCCACCTTCATTAAAACGAACATTGTCAAAACTTAATAGAACTTCAAGGTTACGTCTTATAGGTGATCACAGTCAGGGAGGGTTAAGGGAGCGAGTAGATCATGGTGGTGGTGGCAGACGCTGGGGGAGACACCTTCATTAAAACGAACATTGTCAAAACTTAATAGAACTTCAAGGTTACGTCTTATAGGTGATCACAGTCAGGGAGGGTTAAGGGAGCGAGTAGGGTGGGTGGCAGACGCTGGGGGAGAGAGGAGATGGTGGTGGCAGACGCTGGGGGAGAGAGGAGTATGGTGGTGCAGACGCTGGGGGAGAGAGGAGGCGGTGGTGGCAGACGCTGGGGGAGAGAGGAGTATAGTGGTTGCCAGACGCTGGGGGAGAGAGGAGTATGGTGGTGGGCAGACGCTGGGGGAGAGAGGAGTATGGTGGTGGGACAGGGGAGACAGACGCTGGGGAGAGAGAGGAGGGTGGTGGCAGACGCTGGGGGAGAGAGGAGGATGGTGGCAGACGCTGGGGGAGAGAGGAGTATGGTGGCAGACGCTGGGGAGAGGAGGGCGGTGGTGGCAGACGCTGGGGGAGAGTGGGAGGTACAGACGCTGGGGGAGAGTGGGAGGTGATGGTGGTGGCAGACGCTGGGGAGAGAGAGGAGTATGGTGGTGTCAGACACTGGGGAGAGAGGAGTATGGTGGTGGCAGACGCTGGGGAGAGAGGGAGTATGGTGGGTGGCAGACGCTGGGAGAGAGGAGTATGGTGGCGGCAGACGCTAGGAGAGAGAGGAGAGGTGGTGGCAGACGCTGGGAGAGAGAGGAGGAGGTGGTGGCAGACGCTGGGGAGAGAGGAGTAGGTGGTGGCAGACGCTGGGAGAGAGGAGTATAGCGGTGGCAGACGCTGGAGAGAGAGGAGGAGTATAGTGGTGGCAGACGCTGGGGAGAGAGGAGACATAGTGGTGGCAGACGCTGGGGGAGAGAGGAGTATGGTGGTGGCAGACGCTGGGAGAGAGAGGTATAGTGGTGGCAGACGCTGGGGGAGAGAGGAGTATGATGGTGGCAGACGCTGGGAGAGGAGTATGGTGGTGGCAGACGCTGGGGGGGGGGAGGTCGATGTATTTACTCACGTCCTATTAAAAGTGGAATCAAGAAGATGTCAGACTCTCATAATAAAGCTGAATAAGAAGGAGTTACACGCTGTCTCCCTCTTTCGTTTATTATATTAGGACGTGAGTAAATTAATCTTTTTTTTTTTTTTTTGAGTGAGTCCTGGCGTCGAAATTGCGCGGAGACTATTACGGTTCTATGCGCTCTCTTGTCCTCTAGTTAGAATTTAAAGAAGAAATAATGCATCTTTGGGAATGGGAATCCCGTGTCTTTAAGATATTAGAAAACAAATGTCAACTCAGCCGAGGCTTAAAAGATCACTAGTGTTTTTTTCAACTCGATCTGGTGATGTAAGCCAAGGTATATAACAGGTTTATAATGAAGTAACCAAGACCGAATGAAAAAGGTCATTAGCATAATAGTGAAAGCTCTCTCTCTCTCTCTCTCTCTCTCTCTCTCTCTCTCTCTCTCTCTCTCTCCACTGTGAGTATCTCGTGTAGTTTTTGTCAAGGTAATCTTTCTACCTGAGAGCGACGTAAGACAATGTCAGGTTACTTGAATATACTTTTTGTCATACCTGCCCATAAATTTATAAAGAGAAGGACAGACATATCTCCTTCTCTCTTTAACACATATGAATGAATCATGACCAGGAACTCCAAACATAGACCTGTGAATTGCAGATCACATCATGTATGGGGACGCCGGAGTTGATGTCATCAGTTACCTTGTTTACCTAATGTAATGGCCCGCTACTAGAGGTGGCCAACTGGCCATGCTGAGGGAAGGAGGCCAGTGGCCTGTGTACGATCCCTCCATTGTTGTTAATAATTTTGTCAAGGTGAAACTGTGGAGGACATCAGCTACGTCTCGCCGAAGGATGTCATTTGAAATAAGAGAGATGTACAGTAAGGTAAGTGAAGCAATACAATGGGTGGGTGGGTGGGTGGATATATTGATAAATACCTAATAAAATCCCCACAAGTTAACTGGCTTTGATCACATAATATATTAATAAAAACAATAATTCAAATTTTTAAATGTAATGCATATTAATGGTAATGGTTTAGTGTGTGGTAAGTAATGAATGATATTTTGGTTCATGTAAGTGAACCCAAAATATTCCCTGTAAGTTTATTGGGAATTAAATATTTTAACACTATTCTCTTACGGTATATAAGTACAAACACCCGGATTACTGAATTGTACCGCTTGTAAATATCTATTTTTTTTTCTCATCACAGCATTAAGACACTTAGTATTTAGTTATCATCAGTAACACATTCATGATGCATGCTATCAGGAAGCGAGTTTGTTAACACATATATACTGTACTGTACACACTTGTGTTGTTGGCAGGTCAGCTGGTAATCAACATGGAGGAGCTTGGAAAGCCAGCAAAAGACTCTCTGATGAGTAACAACCTTTCGTACTCTACACAGGTCTACGCTGCATTGTCAGGTGAGTCAGTAGGTAGAGCGCAAGTAAACAAACTAACCCCCAGATAATATATTGAGCATCGTGGTTTAACTTATAAACATGTGCGTTAATGATATCATAGGACGCTTTACTTACTATAAAGTAGACATCTCGCTTATGTTCATTTATCATAATTTCATCTCTCCGGCAGCTTCTCTAGGGGCGCTGGCCATTGGGAATATCATGGGCTACTCCTCCCCGACCGGGCCACATCTGCTGAGTAACTCCACGGGGGAGTCACTGCAGCTGAGCCAGACAGAGTACAACTGGTTCTCGTCGTCAGTCAACCTGGGCGCTGCTGCTGGTGGTCTGGTGGGCGGCCTGTGTATCAACACACTGGGCAGGAGAGGCACCATGTTGGCCTCCGTCTTGCCTTACCTGGCCGGGTGGGTGCTAGTAGGTGCGTGTAAATGGCGTTTTCCTATTCGTGAATCTGCAGTAGACGAAGGTACTTGCTGGGAGACTTGCTTACTACAGTGCTCTCTCTCTATGTATTGAAGATGTCTTCTCGGCCTTTCGTTTCAGGCTGAGAGAGATGAGGTCCCCTGACAGCTCCTTTGAGAACAAATGATTTAAAACTTCAACAAGATCTTCATTTTCAGATCCGAGGCTCACGGCAACGCCTTAGAGGATTTTCTTGAAACTTAGGTCACAAATTCCTTGTATATTGTAAATCGAAGTGAACTATATTTGAGGTGTTGTGTTGTTTAGAAAATTATCTCGGAAAAAGTAAGTTTCTACGTGTTGAGGTGCTTGAGACAGTTCATGTTCTAGCTAAGTCTCGCCATGATCTCCACCGATTGACTTCACGAATGAGACATACAGTATATGCTTTGAAAAGAACACCGTGTGTAACTGTGTATATCTTCTTTTTGATAGTAGTGCATTTTTTTTTATTTCAAGGATATTTCAATAAAACTTTCATCCACTTGCCTTGAATTCAAGTGAGTTAACTGTTTTTGGTACGTCACCTGGTGGTCACTTCTGGTACTAACTAATTTTCTCTCTTTAAAAATATAAATTAAAAACTCTACAATTTCTGGGTAATAATTGCCCTTATTAACCTTTTGTAGTTTTTTCTTTGTTTGGATACTTTCTCAAATGCTGAAATTATAATCTAAGTAGAAACGTTGCGAAAAGTGAAAATAGTAAAACACACATTTTCATTTGTTCGCAGGTTGTGCCCAGAACTTTGCAATGATTTTGCTGGGTCGGCTAATAACAGGTATGTGTATGGGCGTGACATGTGTGGCAGTGCCGACCTTTATTGCTGAGTTCTCCTCCGCCAACATCAGAGGCACCCTGGGTAAGTCTGCCTCATTATAATACTCCATAAACTATAGCCTCACCTCAACCAAGTCTAAGATATCCATTGCATTATGCAATTTGTACAGTACCAGTAATAACTATAACACTGCCCAAAATAGTGCAATACTATGAACCTGGTATTACTACTGTATATGACCGCCATAACAAACACATATGCTTGTTGTGTACACAGGCAGCGGCTTCCAGCTGATGATCACGGTCGGCGTTCTTTACGTCTATGGTTTGGCTCCGGCCGTCGGCAACTTCCGGTGGCTGGCTGTATCCTGCAGCTTCCCTATCGTTCTCCACATGATTATGGTCTACTTCACCCATGAATCACCCAGTTATCTTATATCTAAAGGGAGACATGAGCAGGCAGCAACGGCTCTCCAGTATTACAGAGGTAAACACAGTCATCGTTGCTTTCCTCTTATAAATCTTAGTCCCGTATTTACCATTGGAAAGGTTTTATTTAAGCATATTTACAAGGTGCACTAATCCTCAAAATCTCCTTCAGTTTGACAGATCACTAACGTGTAATTATTTCACGCTTAAATCTCTATGCGTTGCCAGCATAAAGGTACCGTACCGTCCATGTACAATGAAAGACAAAAGTCGTGTCGTGAAATTTGGTGAAAACATGTGCCGAAGGGCTAAACTTTTGGTGCGCTCTGCCTTGTGGTAGGGCTCTCATAATGCTTCACGAGTTATGTTTAATCTTCGGACAAAACCGCGACACGACTTTTGTCTTTGATTGTACATCTTGACTGGATGTACTGCAGGGAGGAGAAGGAATAATCTGAACTTTCTCGACTCCCGTGATAGTCAAACTCTTGCACTTTATCGAGACCCAGAAGGTTGTGTCGTTATAGGGTGTTATAAACAAAGTCCTTCTCTACCTAAATAATACAGACCTTCACGTTCCTTTAACCTTCTTCGCAAATTAATCAACTTGACATAACTAACTGGTCATTATCTCCTCTTCTCCTCGTGTTCTCTGAGGTAACTATCCTCCGGCTGTCCAGGAAAACATTACAACATTGAGAAGGAGCTCCGACAACTACAGAGTTATTTAGAGGAGACTCAGGAAAGAAAGCGTTCACTGGCAGATATTATGAGACCTTACAACCTGAGACCATTCATGATCTGCTTGATGCTGCTGCTGTCATCCCAGTTATGTGGAGTCACCCCTGTCATCTTTAACATGGGAATTATTTTCAAGGTGAGGCAACATACTGGCAACTTCCAGGTTCCTGCAGGTCGTCAACAACATTAAATATACTTTATTTTACATTATATGGAAAACAATTATATAATTTAATGTAGGGAGACAGGTAGATAGGACTTTTTGTACAAGAGATAGGACACGTAGGATTAGGGTGTGTTTTCCTGGGGCTGGGATAGGGCATGTAGCTGAGAGGTTAGACAGGGTTTTGTCAGGGGAGGGTACCAATCCAGTAGTGTGTCTTAGTGTGGGAGGAAACGACATAGGAAAGGTTAGGAGTGAGGAACTTTTGAAGAGGTATAGGGAGGCGCTAGGGAAGGTTAGAGATAGGAGAGGGATCCCGATAGTATGTGGTGTCTTGCCTAGAAGAGGGGTTGGTCGTGAATGGCTGTCCAGGGCAATTGCTATAAATTGCCGACTGGAAAAAACATTGTGCAAACAATGGTTGGGCATTCATTGATAGCTGGCAACGATTCTATGGCAACGACTACCTGTACAGTCGTGACGGAGTACACTTGTCTCGTGCGGGGGTAAAGACGTTGTCTGCATCCCTGGAGCGTGAAATTGTCACTCCAAAAGGGGGGTTTCGCCAGTAGAGAGAGGTCGGGGAAAGTGGGAGTCAAAAAACAAGCAGGTCCTGGGAAGTAAAATTAGTTACTCAGGACGAGGGGTAAAACAGGACCAGGGAAGGGCAGGCTTAAATGTATACTATACAAACAGAAGGAGCGTTCGAAATAAAATAGACTTGCTAAGAGCGGTTGTATGTACCGAGAATGTAGACGTCATAGCAATCACCGAAACTTGGATGAATCTGGCGAGCAAATTTTTTTTATCAGAGTACCACATAGAAGGGTACAACCTTTTTCACAAGGACAGGGAAGGTAGGAAGGGGGGAGGGGTCTCACTCTTCGTCAAGGATACATTAAAATGTTGTATTAATAATTCAATAAAGGGTGAAATAGGAACCGAGTCTGTATGGGCAGAAATCACGGAAGGAAGAGAAAAAACTAATTATGGGAGTGATTTACAGGCCCCCAAGTCTGGGCAAAGAAGCAGCTCAGCCCATATGGCAGGAAATAAGTAGGGCAGCAAAATGTAACAACCTATGCATTATGGGGGATTTCAACTTCAGAAATATTGATTGGAACAACATTGTAGGTGACTATGAATCTGAAGACTTTCTAGACGCAGTACAGGACAATTTTTTGAAACAACTAATTACAGAACCTACTAGAGGTAACAATATATTAGACCTAGTATTAACAAATAAAGAAAATATTATCAGAGATATCACAGTAGGGGAAGAACAAAGTAACAGTGATCACAGAGAAATCAGGTTCACCCTAAATTGGGAAACAAAAAACAATGACAATATGGTCAGAGTCCCAAACTTTCGGTTGGCGGATTATCAGGGATTAAGAAGGTACCTAGGTGAGGTCACCTGGGAACAGTCACGTCAGTCCCCAGTAGGAAGGGGTGAGGTCATAGATGACACAACAATTGATCATGACTATGATATATTCACTAGTATACTACATAAAGCACAAGAACAAAATATACCATACAGAAAAATTAGGTCAAATAAGAATGAGCCAAGGTGGATGACCAGAAAACTTAAACATGACATAGGAATAAAGAAAGGAATTTATAAGAAACTAAAGGGAGGGGAGGAGCAGCTCAGAAATAGGTATAATGAACTATCTAGGAATGTTAAGAAAAATGTAAGGAAAGCAAAGAGAGACTATGAAGTCAAACAAGCAAGAGAATCCAAGGCGAATCCCAAGGGATTTTTCCAGGTATATAGAACAAAAGTCAAGGACAAAGTTGGGCCTTTACAGTCATGGAGGGGAGAAGTGATAAATGGCAGTGAGGAAATAAGCAAAGCATTGAACAACAACTTCTTATCAGTTTTCACAGAAGAAATTCTCGAGGAAATTCCAGAGGTGGAACTGATATTTAGGGGAAAGGAAGAAGAGAAATTAAAGAATATCACTATCAGAAAAGAGGATGTTCTTAAGAGGATAAATAAACTAAAGAAGACAAAATCCCCAGGGCCGGATGAAATTTTCCCTCGAGTCTTGAAAGAGAGTAGGGAACAGATTAGCAGACCCCATGTAAATTTATTTACAAAATCATTAGACACCTGAGTTGTGCCAGACTTGTGGAAACAGGCAAATGTAGTACCCATATTCAAAAAGGGAGACAGAGCATCAGCGTCAAATTACCGGCCGATCAGTTTGACGTCAGTAGTGGGGAAATTCCTTGAATAAATTATAACAGATAGCATCCGATCGCATCTAGAGAAAAGCAAATTAATCAATGATTCGCAACATGGGTTTACAAAGGGAAAATCTGTCTAACAAATCTGCTGACGTTTTTTGGAAAGTCTTCCAGGTAGTAGATAATGACGAAAATTACGATGTTATTTACTTAGACTTTAGCAAAGCATTTGACAGGGTACCGCATCAGAGGCTTCTGAGAAAAATTAAGGCTCATGGTATCGAGGGGAAAGTTTTAAATTGGATAAAATCATGGCTCACCGATTGAATGCAGAGGGTCAGCGTAGATGGTGTTAAATCTGAGTGGGGCCGTGTAACCAGGGGTCAGTACTAGGCCCACTCTTGTTCATAATCTACATAAACGATCTAGATACTGGGATCAGCAGTGACATAAGCAAGTTTGCTGATGACACCAAAATAGGGCGGCAGATTAATTCAGGGCAGGATGCAAATGCATTACAGGAGGATCTAAATAAACTGCAGGGGTGGTCTGAAAAATGGCAAATGAAATTCAACACCAGCAAGTGCAGCATACTTAATATTGGAAGAACAAATACTGACAATGTATACAGCCTTAATAACATCAACCTAGAGAAGTCGACTTGTGAAAGAAACCTAGGGGTACTTGTAAGCCCGGACCTACGGCCTAGAAAACAGTGCGTTAATGTTCGAAATAAGGCAAACAGAGTATTGGGTTTTATATTTAGAAGTGTAAGTAATAAGAGTGCAGAGGTCTTATTGCAATTATATCTTGCGCTAATCAGGCCGCACCTCGATTATGCGATTCAGTTCTGGTGCCCTTATTATAGAATGGATATCAATTCACTAGAGTCGGTGCAGCGAAGAATGACGAAAATGATTCCGGAACTTAGAAACCTTCCATATCAGGATAGGTTAAAGAAACTTAACTTGCATTCCCTAGAAAGATGAAGAGTGCAGGGAGATATGATAGGAGTATTTAAGTGGGTGAAAGGAATCAATAAAGGGGATATAGATAAAGTTCTTATAATATCCGAGCAGGATAGGACTCGGAGCGACGGATTTATGTTGGATAAGTTTAGGTTTAGGAGGGAGATAGGAAGAAACTGGTTCACAAATAGGGTGGTGGACGAGTGGAACAAGCTTAGCAACTTTGTAGTAAGTGCTGGAACTCTGGAAAGTTTCGAAAGGAGGCTAGATAGATTCATGGATGATAGAGAGTGGTAGTAACTCTCGACAGGAGCTGCCATGCACAGGCCAACCGGCCTATTGCAGACTCCTTATTTTCTTATGTTCTTATGTTCTTATGTAAATGTTTTTGTTTTGTTTTCTGTAATGGTGTTATTGGTTCACACACTTAGTGGTGATTATAGCTTATTACTGCATTAATAACCACATATGCAGTAGGGAGTTAAAATGTTATCGTTGTAGGACGCCGGGGTGGGGTTGTCAGAGGAGGTGAGTGAGGTGGTGGTCAGCGTGGTGCAGGTGGCGGTGACTGGCGGCGCCTCCCTCCTCATGGACCGTGCTGGCAGGAGGATAATGCTGTTGCTGTCCGCCGCCATCATGGCCGTGTCAATTGGTCAGTCATCCCATCACAACATGTTATATCCCGATGCTGTTGTCACATGAACAACTCTGGATATAGAATAAACTAAAAGTTGTCCAACATCTTCAATGTAAACTGATAGTAAATTAAACATAGTTTCGCTGCCCATCATATTATAATTATGTAAAATAAGTTATTACTCTTGTTGACAGTGAGTCTGGGCGTGTACTTCTACCTGAAAGAACAGGACAGTGTGTGGGCGGCGGAGACCTTGGACTGGTTACCACTCACCTCCCTCATACTGTTCATCACCGCCTTCTCCCTTGGTTTCGGCCCCGTCCCTTGGCTCATGTTCGGTGAGTCCCTCCTTAAGAAAACCTACGAAGGGTCCCCAGGATTAGATTCAAAACTGCTTATCCAATCTACTCCATAGCAGTCCTTTCAAACTGCTTTTGTCGCCCATATATATATATATATATATATATATATATATATATATATATATTTGTATATATATATATATATATATTTATATATATTTCATTAGCCCAATAAAGCACGCGGACTTCTACATACAATCAACACCTCAACCCGCCAGGATTCGAACCCACGGCCCACAAGCCTATGACTGTGACCGGGGAACGCTAACCGCTGGACCACCAGGATACTAAAAGCAGTCCTAGACTTTGTTATATTTCACACAAAGCCTGTTCAACGAGCTTATGGCGCCGTGAACTTCTAATGGGGACCACCCGTATCACGTAGGTGGTCAGAGTAACGTTTTACCAAATCCGGCTTCGAAACACGAGGATCCATATATATTTCATTAGCCCAATAAAGCACGCGGACTTCTACATACAATCAGGCTTTGTGTGAAATATAACAAAGTCTAGGACTGCTTTTAGTATCCTGGTGGTCCAGCGGTTAGCGTTCCCCGGTCACAGTCATAGGCTTGTGGGCCGTGGGTTCGAATCCTGGCGGGTTGAGGTGTTGATTGTATATATATATATATATATATATATATATATCACTGTAAGTGCGCGTGATCCAGGTATATACAGTACTGATAACAACAAGAAAACACGAAGTTCCCAAGCGCGTTCGTGTAATTCACATCTTCAGGGGTGAGTACAGATTAAGGAGTAATTATTGACAAGGCTAATATATACCCTGTACAGTAAAGGAGAGCGAGATCAAGTCCCTAGGGACAGCAGGTGTCCACCATAAACACTTGTCAACCGTCAGTGAGACAAGACGTGCCCCGAAGGTGCTCCCGGTTTTAGCAGCCAGGCCGAGTCTGTTTGGCCCTGCCACTCCCCCTGCTCCCCAAATATGTAACTGTATATTTTCAGCCTTCTGGCTGCCAAGCTCTTTCAATAAACCGTTAATTATTATTATTATTATCATTATTATTTATAATCAGGTCATAAGGTAGGGTGACCCAACCCTTTCCTCTGTTACAAATCATCTTAATCACAAAATTGTCCAATTTGTACAAGCAATTAGTCAAATTCATGTTGACAGATTCGATATGTTTAAGAGATTAGATTCTGTAATGCTCCTTCTGACAATTGAATTACAATGTAATATTGAGGAGGCATTATCCCAGTCAATGTAATACTAATTACCTTTCATATGAATGAACAGAGCATTGGATTCCTGGCCTGTCCTAACACTATATTTATGCTGCATTTACAAGGTTCCTTGTAAGGAATGTAATACGCTCTACTTAGGCCAGACGGGAAAAGTTTTTATAACTAGACTTAAACAACATAAATAAATACATAAATAAATAAACTTATATATATATATATATATATATATATATATATATATATATATATATATATATATATATATATATATATATATATATATATATATATATATATATATAAAATCAACGACCTCACCAGCCAGGAATCGAACCCTCGATCTACTGGGTGGGACTAGGGAACGCTACCGACCAACCCACAAGGACACTAAAAGCAGTCCTAGGCTCTGTTATATTTCACACAAAGCTTTGTGTGAAATATAACAGAGCCTAGGACTGCTTTTAGTGTCCTTGTGGGTTGGTCTGTAGCGTTCCCTAGTCCCACCCAGTAGGTCGAGGGTTCGATTCCTGGCTGGTGAGGTCGTTGATTATATGTTCAAAGTCCGCGTGTTATATATATACTATTTCCGTAGGTGAACTACTTCCCCTCGAGGTTAAGGAAGCTGCTGGCAGTTTTGTTTCGTTTTTCACTCGTTTAGCTGCCTTCTGCATTACCCTCGTGTTTGTCCCTCTCCAGGTGAGTCTCTATGGCCCTAACTTTCCTTCCTCACAACTAAAGTCAGCATCAGTATAAACAATGAATATCAGACTCGACTGTCAGTTCATATAACCATACCAGTACTTACTATGACCAGACAGTATCCACATACCTGCTGAAATTGTTAATAAAAAGTTGAAGCTGCCTTTGTCGTTTAAGAGGTTTCTTGTTCACAAAGAGACGGATAAAATGCACACACACATATACAAATTGATAACCTGTCTCGTTTTCACAGACTGCCATGGGGGACTACGGTGTGTATTGGCTCTTCGGAGGAGTTTGTCTGCTGGCCTTGGTCTTCACCTTCTTGCTCGTACCGGAGACTAATGGCAAGACGCTGCAGGAGATCACAGCACATTTTGGAGGCCCCACAACCATGAGTCCATGCAATATGACCCATGAAGCCTGTGTCGCTGGTCCTGTACATAATACATCGTCAGGAGTGGACAACAAGGCATACACCGACTCGGTGTAAGCTGCGTATTATTTCAGATATGTGGATGTGACAGTGACCGAGTGATCACTTCGCTAAGCCAGCAAAGAGCTGATTGATAGGTTTTGTTTGTACCTGTGTGTGTGTGTGTGTGTGTGTGTGTGTGTGTGTGTGTGTGTGTGTGCGCGTGCGCGCGCTTTGTAACTAACTGTGTAGTATATCAGAGATAGGACCTTCTCAGCAGAAGTGGTACAGATGAAGTCAATTATACATGGCTTCAATCAACAATGTCAACTGACCGCTTGTCTGGACTGTGCATACTCGTATACTCATCATGAATCACCAGACGGTGCTAGGCTTGACCAGACTTGGCCAACACTGAAGCAGGTTCCGATAAATTCAGGAGCCAGTACTTACCCAGTACTTGCTAACAGTGCGTAACAGAGACGTGACCGACCGCCCAAGCGGCTAACGAGCCGATCAGCGTTGTAGAGGCTAAAGGTAAAAAAGTAAGTAAAAGTGATTTGGTCGTTTTGGAGTGGATAAGCGCCGCCTGCAGCATTTATTTAACAACTCAAATTACTCACCTAATGTACTGAGCAAGTCATCCCTACACAGCCAAGCTTAGAGAGTTTGGAGCAAACTTGAAGAGTTGAAGTACCCAATCTTCTTCCAGTTAAAAGAAGAAGAAACCACAAGAACACACAGGTGGTGGCCCAAGAGCCTCCATGCGAACATAGAAGAACCAGACCCACTATATGAACAAATAACACCATCACTTAACAAATGTAAATTAATACACATTACATGAATGAATGTCTAGCTAGCTTAGCTCTCCCCTCCCTCCCCCCCCTGGCCTCCCATGAGCGGGCGGGCGTCTGCTGTGTCTAGCCACCCCAACCAATTCCCTCGACTCAGCTAGGTGGACAGCCCACCTGTTATTACTCCCTACTACATTACTTCTCGTTTCTATTCTTTCATTCTCTCTTTCCTCTCCTCTCTCATGGCAAAGTCATGTCACTTTACTTCATCATCATCATCATCAGGATTAATTATATAAAATTAGTTATTTTCGTTTGTTTTTAATGATAATTTTAGTGATTAATAATTTGGCGATAACATTGATAAGTGATATTGCTTGAAAGTAACTTAATTATATTTCATCATAATATTATTTGGATGTATTTACCCGTTTTGAATAAACTGATATGTCAGGTCTTGTCTTGCTTTCTTGCACTCCCACTCTGGAAGAGCCCCTGGTGGCACCATCGCTCCTGAAAGTGCCCCTGGGTGTCTTCACCGCCTCTGGCAGGGCCCCTGTGGTTGCCACCGGCCCTGGCAGGGGCCATAAGGACGCCACCCTTGGGCTAGCCCTCTCGGGGCGCCGCCGGCTCTTGTGACAGCCCCTGAGGGCGCCACCGTATCTGGGAGGGCCTCTGCGGGCGTTGGCGCCTTTGAAAGGGCCCCTGAAGGAGCCACCGCCCCTGACGGAGCCGCCTCCCCTGGAAGAGCCCCTGGTAGCGCTGCCGCCCCTGGGAGGGCGCTTGGGAAAACCTCCTCCAATGGCAGGGCCCCCTAGAGACGTCGCCGCCCCTATGACGGCCCCAAGGATCGCCTCTCCATCTGGGAGGGCCCGTGGGGGAGCCACCGCTCTTGGAAGGCCCCCAGGGGGCGCCACCTCCTATAACAGGGCCCCTGGGAGCGCCGCCGCCCCTGGGAGGGCATTAGGGGGCGCCGCCATCCTTAGGAAAGGCCTTAGGGGGCTCCGACGCACTTGGGAGGTACCCTAGGGATGCAACCTTCTTTGGGAGGGCCCCTAAGGACGCCGCCGCCCCTGTGAGGGGCTCTAGGGGCGCCTACGCATCGGGGAAGGCCCCTGGGGTCGCCAATGCCCATGGGAAGGCTTCTGTGAGTGCTGCAGCCTTTAGGAGGGCCCCTGGGGGCGCCACTGCCCTCAAAGGGTGCCTGGAGGCACCACTGCCCTCGAAGGGCCCCTGGGGGTGCCACCGCCCCTAGGATTGCCCCTGGGAGGGCCACTGATGTCGCTGCTACCCCTGCAAGGGCCCCTGGGGACGCCGCCGCCCTTGTAAGGGCCTCTAGGGGCGCTTCTGACTGTGAGGGCCCCCTAGGAACGCCCCTGATCCTGTGAGGGTCCCTAGGGGCGCCTCTGCATCTGGGAGGGCCCCTGGGGTCACCGACGCCCCCTTGAGAATCCTAAGTGGTGCCGCCACCCCTTGGAGGGCCCCTGGATGCGCCACCGCCTCTGGAAGGGTCCCTAGGGGCGCCACCGTCCCTTGTGAGGGCCCTTGGGAGTTCTGCCGCCCCTGTGAGGGCCACTGGGCGCGCCGACACCCCTGGGAGAGTCCCATGAAGCGCCGCACCTGGTAGGGAAAAAGGGAGGTTCCCAGGGAGCGCTGCCCCTATAGGACCCCTGGGGGCAGTTGTTTTTGCACTATTTAGAGCAATGTGAGATATGACGGTAAATAAATACACCTCATCGCATTTCCAGTATCATCGCATCCTGAACAACGTAAAGGAGAATAAATATCCAACAGGAAAACATAAGTTGGCGTGTTGTTCTGACTGACTGTTCTGTTCTCCTATTGGCTGTCATTTCGTGGATTTACATTTTAGTCCACCAATCACAGTTAAGTAAGGGGTTTCTGGACGCATGTAATATGAACGACACCACGACCACGGGGCCTCCCAGGGATGGCGGTGTCCCCATTGACCCTCCCAAAGACGGAGGCGCCCCCAGTAGCCCTGCCAGAGGCACTGGTGCCCCAGGGGCTCTCCCAGGGACAGCGGTGCTTCTAGGAGCACTCCCAGGGACGGCGGCGCCTGCATGGGTCGTGCCTGGGTCGCCTGCTTCCCAAGGGGCCTCCTCTGGTGTGCTGGCTCCTCCAGGGAATCTCCCAGATACAGTGGCGGTCCCAGGGGCCCTCCCAGGAAACGGCGGCTCTTCCAGGGGCCGTTTCTCCGGGGGTAGCACCCCCAGGGGTCCTCTCAAGGGTGGTGGCGACCCCAGGCGGTGGCGTCTCCAGGGGCCCTCCCAGGGTCGGCTGTGCCCCCAGGAGCCTTGCAGGGGTCAATGGCGTGCCCTCTCAGGGACGGTAACGCTCCCAGGGGCCCTTCCAGGGACGGCTGCTCCCACAGGGACTTTGCCAGAGACACTGTCGCCCCCAGGGGCAGGTATTTTTCCACTTATTAGAACAATGGTTAGATATGACGTTAAATAAATACACCGCCCAATGCATTTCCAGTATCATCGCATCCTGAACAATGTAAAGGAGAATAAATATCCAACAGGAAAACATAAGTTGGGTTGTTGCGCTGACTGACTGTTCTGATCTCCTATTGGCTGTTATTTGGTGATTTACATTTTAGTCCACCAATCACAGTTAAGTAAAGGATTGCTAGACGTATGCAATATGAACGACACAGCGATCAAGCAAGCTATAGGGCTTTTGGGAGGAGGCGCCCCCAGGGGCCCTCCCACGGATGATGGTGCCCCGAGGGGCTCTCCCAGGGATAGCGGCGCTCCTAGGTGCCCTCCCAGGGACAGCAGCGCCCCTAGGGTTCCTCTGAAAGACGGCGGCGCCCATCGGGCCCTTTCCAGGGGCGGTTACGCCCCAAGGGGCTCTTCCAGGGACAGCGGCGATCCCAGGGGCACTCCCAGTGGAAGTGCAAGGGGCGGTGACGTCCCCAGGGGCCCTCTCAGGAACGCTGGCCTCCCCTGCGACTCTCCCAGGGGCCCTCCCAGGGACGACAGAGCCCCAGGTCCCTGCCAGAGGCACTTGCAACCCCCAAGGGCTCTCACAAAGAGATTGGCGCTCCCAGGGGCTCTCCCCGGGGTTCTCCCAGGAGCCCTCCCTGGAACAGTAATGCTCTCAGGGGCCGTGCCAGGGGCGGTAGTACCCATAGGGTCCCTCTCAGGGGCGGTGGCGTCCCCAGGGGCCCTCCCAGGGACGGATGCGCCCCGAGGGACCTTGCCAGGGACACTGTCGCCCCCAGGGGCTCACCCAGTGACAACAGTGCTTCCAGGAGCCCTCCCGGGCAAAGTTAAGCGCGGACTTACTGTAGTAATAATTATAATAATAATAATAATAATGATAATGATAATAATAATAATAATAATAATGATAATAATAATAATAATAACCAACCATAATTACAACAAGTTACCAATGACAACAAGTTACCAACCATTAATAATGCCTCACGATAAATAATGATGAAAAATCAGGTAAAGAAAAATAACATTGCAAATTCTTTTATATTTATTAATACAAAAAAGAGGGAGATTAAATAATGTAAAGGCATACATAGAAAAAAATAACTTTATACACGTATATATCACGGCTTCAGCTCATTTCTGTAGAAGGAAATTGCATTGAACAATAATCTAAAATAAAAGATGTTTCCAGAGTACATCAGGTGACTGGAATCTTTGCTTTTATTAATTAGATCATTGCATCTCAGGTAATAAGGCAAGTTTGACTTCTGACAACAAATTCTGAAGTTAAGAGGATAATCTTGAACACCAAACACGAGTGACGCTCCGGAGAACTGGCGAGGGTCTCCCTCCAAATGCTGCTTGAAGGTTTTCTGTTAATTTTTGTGGATATTATCATTGTTGCGGCCGGGAGGGGTTGGCGGACACCGGTAACTAGTAAATAAGTTCTCACTAAACCCTCCAGCCCCTGATGATGTGGCCAGCCATCTCCTAATGACCTGACTATGGTATCATGGACCTATCATGGCCATACAGTATAAACTGTACTGTACAAAGAAGTAACACAGCACTCAAGTATCACCTCCGCATGGGTGGCACTGACATGATAATATATATTTGTTTTCTAAAAGTTAGCACAACTAGAGATTACATTTATATACATTTTATACTATATATTGTACACAGCTGACGAATATAACAAAGATTTCTGTATAACTTACTTGAAGCTGGACATGTTAAATATTATATAAGGCGTTCTTCTACTTAAAAACGTTCAACTTACAAACTTTCAGAGATACAAACATCATTAGTGAGGGAGGTTACATGCCAGAACAGGTGTTTAATGTGAATGAGACTGGATTATTTTGAAGAAAATTCCAGATAGAACAAACATTACCTAAGAGGAGAAGAGTGAGCAAGGTTTTAAGGCTGTATTAAAGGGTGTAGCTGTACTAAATATCCATAATCTTTTCATTTTTTACAATATGTTTGGTATCTACAAGAGTAAAGTTGGACTTACAAACAAGCCTCAGGAACGTAACTCGTTTGTAAGTAGAGGAGCACCTTATATATATATATATATATATATATATATATATATATATATATATATATATATATATATATATATATATATATATATATATATATATATATATATATATATATCGCTGCACTATTAGTATTATAACTAACCTATCTATGTACATAAGTTGTCCCTTATTGAGGTGTGGAGGGGGAAGGAAGGAGGAAAATGAAGAGCAAGAGAAGAAACTGGAAAACACGGATGTGAGAGAAGATGGGTAGGTCTTAGATAAGCAAGTGTATAAGAATGTGAATGAGCGAGGCTGGGGTGAGGAGTTGAGGAGGATTGGGGAGGGGCTGGGGGGTTGGGGAGGGACTGGAAGGGTTGGAGCAGGGCTGCAATGAGGCACACACGGGGAATGGCACGTCTCAGCCAGGCAGGACTTGGTTGAGGAGTGGCGGAGTTACACTGTATGATGTCGATTGTCCTCCGTCTACCGGTGCTCCCCATGCTCACTCTCCGGGGGGTAGCTCATGTAGTATGGGGGATAGTAGTTATGCCCACTGTTAGCTCCCACCGTGCTATAGACGGGTGGGATGGGTGTGGTGGGCGGGGGCATCATCTTGAGGGTACCTGCACGAGAGGAGGGTGGAGGAGGGAGGGTTGGATAAGGTCCCGGGTAGCCTGCCCAACTGCCAGGGGGTGGAGGAGGCTTGAGGCAGGTGCAGTTCCCGTGACTTCTCATAGCCAGTGGCCCCGCCAGAGGTCCTCCGCGGTACTGGGAGTCAGAGCGGAGGCGGATCAGGCAGATGATGATGATGAGTAAGGCCACGAAGGCAACTACACCCCCCACGATCCCAATGATGACATTGTCCATATTGGTCAGGCCGCTGCCAGAACGTGATGGGGAATTGGATTTCTCAACCTCATTAAGCTCATCACTGGGTCGTCCGGTCATGTCGTCAAAGGTGATGATGTTGTCGGTGGTGACAGGTCGCCGCAGTGTTGTGGTGAACAAGGGAGGGTCAGTGGTGGTGGAGGTGGGCCGACCCTCACAGGTCAGGTCACTCTCACTCAGGGTAGTCAGAATAACACCCTTAAGATTCGTCGGGGCATCACAGGTCATGTTATAAAGGTCATCTCGGGTCCCATGGCCTACCAGCCAACGACGAAGAGTCCTCATGTTACAGTCACAGAAAAGAGGGTTTGAACCCAGGCCAGTGAGATGTAGATGACGCTGACGAGAATCAAGAGTATTGAGGAACTGAGGACTGAGGGAGGTGATGCTGGAGTCTGATACGTCCAGCTGTATTCTGGAAGACATCGGTACCGGGAAGAACACATCGGAACGAAGATCACTAACATTGGTATTGACAAGACCGATTTTCAGCTCAGGACTGTTGATGCCAGCAAAGGCACCTCCAGAAAGAGCCTCAACCGAGCGTCCACGGACAGTGAGGCTCCGGAGGCGAGGGTAGAAGGCTGGGTGGAGTTGATCATGCACCTCTCTGTCAGTTAATTCAATGTCGACCACTTCAAGCCCCGGGTGACCTTCCAGGATGCCTTGCACGTCCAGCACGACAATCAGTGGTAATGTGTGTAGGTGAAGCTCTCGTAGGGACCGTAGAGGATTGAGAGCCAAACGCTCGATGCGGTTTGCTCGGGGAAGGTGAGACGCTCGCAGGATCTCAAGATCGTTCAGGTAGTTGAAGTCACCACGAACAATATAAGCGAGAGGGTTGTAGGAAATGTCCAACACGCGAAGGTCGGGTATCTTGGGCCAGGCCATGGCGAGACCGTAGCTCAGGTTCGGTATCTTGTTTCGTGACATATCTAGCTCCTGGAGGTTCTGAGTCAGCTCAAAAGATGACTCTTTGATTTCTACAATGTTGTTGTCAGAAAGGTTAAGAGAAATTAGAAAACGGGCCTCGATGATGGGAACTTCTGTAACATTTGTGCCAGCGAGGCTGAGATGACGCACAGTCTTGGGTTCATTCAGCAATATAAATATAGCTTCTGGAGTGAGTGGGTTGTAAGATAAATCAAGCACCTTGATGTTGACCAGAATGTCGGCGTTGCTTGGCACGTTCTGGATCTTATTGTGGGCCATGTTGAGGTCACTTAGGAAGAAATACTGAAGACGGAGGGTGTTCACTGGCACATTGTCAAAGAAGTTGTGAGCCAAATTTACCGATTGAAGTTTCTGAATCTTAGTCCTCTGGAATATCATCTCTGGCAGAGTAGAAAGTTTGTTGTGGCTCAAGTCCAGGTGAAGACGAGCGATTCCCAAAAATACATTTTCTGGAAGTTCCTCAATTTGATTATAACTTAAGTTGAGATCCTGAAGCTGCGTCGAGTTCTGAAAGGCACTCTCAGCCACAGCTTCTATCAGATTGTTCTTCAGGCTCAGTTCTCGCAGGTGAGGAGCGTTTGCAAAGTCATTATTCTCAAGACTCTTGATCTGGTTACTCTCAACATTAAGGTGCTCCAGGTCACTAAGGTCACGGATAATCTCTGGAGGGAAGAAAGACAGTCGGTTGTGGGATAGACTCAGCCAGTTGAGCTTAGAGTGGAGCTGGAAGGCGAGAGGCTGGAGGAAGGTGATATCATTGTGACTCAAGTCCAAGATCCTCAGCTCCGTCACATCAGCTGGGATGGTCAGCTTGAAGTACTCCTTCTTGAAGGATGGCAACATGTTATTGTTGAGACGAAGGATGTGCAACAGAGCGATATTGAGGAAGGCTGTATCGCTGACACTCCTGATGGTGTTGTGGCTCAGATCCAGAGTGTGGAGGAAGAGAAGGTCCTTGAAGGCCTCACTTGGGATCTCTTTAATTTCGTTGTGTTGGAGGTTGATCACATTGATGAACGACTCATTGAACTGTCCGGGTCTGATCTCGACAATCTGGTTCATACTGAGATCCAGAGTAGATAGTTTCCTCACTGGGTGGAGGAGGGTGACAGGCAGGGAGGACAAGTGGTTCTCGCTCAGGTCCAGCATCTTTAGCTCCGGCAGGAGGACAAAGGCATCTGACGGAAGACTCGTGATGTTGTTCTTGGACAGGACAAGAGTATTCAACAGCGGGAAGTCAAACTGCGGCAGCTCACTCAGAAGATTCAGACCCAAGTTAAGCTCCTTCAGGCTCTCTCGCAGACCGATCAGACTCTCTGGGATGAGGTTCTGAAGTTGGTTACCGTAGAGGTTCAGACTCTCCAGGTACGTGAAGTTAGAGAACGTGCCCTGAGGGAGTTCCCTGATGATGTTGTGGGCGATGGAGAGGTGGTGGAGGCTGGTGACAGTCTGGAGGCTGCTGGCAGAAATCACTCCAACACGGTTATAGTCCAGCGTTAGTGACGTCAGCGTCCTCACCTGTACCAGTGAAGAGAAACATGTTAGTTTTCTGTTAATTTATAATTATGACTAAATATCATGTTATTACTGTATTATTATTATTAGTAGCAGTAGTATAAGAAGAAATTAACCCAAATGTAAATTATGAGGAAAAATTTTTATATTCATTATGATACAAATAAATATTTACATTGACTCTGTGACGTATACTGTTGATTGTTATGCCAGAATATAAGGCCACACATTTTTTTCCATTAAATCTTCTTTCAGAACAAATATTACATAACAAAGGCATCAGAGAACACTTCCTAACTGAGAGAAGTAAAAGTTAGACCTTGAGCATCATAATAACAGAGTACAATCTCATGGACTGAACACTCAAGAGGTGAGTTAGTGACCTTTGCCAAGGCGGTCCAGGGGATGGCCAGGATATTGTCGTCGTCTAGCTGCAGAGTCTCCAAGGAGGTCAGCCCCTCAAATGCCTCCTCCTCTACCTGTGGGCGAGACACCCATTAGTACCTATCAGTCTCTCTCACCTGGTGTGTAGAGCGGTCTCTAATATGATAAAATTTCAACTCTTTGAACACAAATCATTAATCTGCACATCACGGAATACCTAGCCAAGATTTTGAGCAAAATTAATTTTCAAAAATTCAAACCCTCGAACATGGTAGCATGGATATTTCTTTCTGTTTTTAAAACCGTATAATAATGTGTTTGGAGGTAAGCATTGACTTTACACCTTGGCTGTCCACCAATTGCCTGGTTTGTATGTTTAGGGAGGTGGGGGAGGGATGCACCCAGCCAAGTTGCCAGTTAGGAATTTCGAGGCTTGTAAGTGGCGTGGACTGTACAGTATATGTTGAATCAATATGAGCTTATATGACAATTTTGCTATATAAAAATATATGCTGTATATGTTTCTAAAATCAAAGTCTCGAGATATTCAGAATGAGCCATCGCTTGTCCTCACACTCACAAGACCGGAGAGTACTATTACTGTAGTTCCTCACACTCACTCACCTTCCTGATGGAGTTGACACCTAATTTGAGAGACTTGAGGCCAGAGAGCTGCCTGAATGTGCCGGTAGGAAGCTCCCCGATGTTGTTCCTCGTCAGATCTAGCTGTTGAAGGGTTGTCATTGGCCCGAGAGCCACCACACCACCTAGCGTCTATTGGAGGAAAATCAAACACACAAAATATTTTGTTAGAAGAATGATAAAACATACATTCAATGTCTCAACCAGTCTGCCACCCAGCCTACTAACCAGTTTATCAACCAAAATGTCAGCCAGTATGTTAACCAGTCTGTTAGTCAGTGTGTTAATGCGTCTGTTTCAAAGTTGTACTTGACCATGACCTCAAATCTTAACTGAAACCATTATATTTTACAGTGATTTTATTTAAAATTGCAGTGATCTTAAACTACTGAAGTGATCTTAGTTTAACCTGACCTTCCCAAAAATACCCACAAACACCTACCTGGATTAAATTATCATGAAGTATAAGAGTCTTTAGGTTGGTGAGCTCCTTGAGGGCGTCAGCAGGGATCTCCGATAGGAAGTTGGAAGACAGCTCTAACTCCTCAAGTTTGGCCAGACCACTAAAGGCATCGTTCCTTATACCAGATAGTCTGAAAATTTAACTTCATTGTGAAATTCCGCCATTCAGTAGATAAATTTTCTAGGTTATTACCTGAATGTTGACTTAAATCACCACACAAGTAATCTATATTTCATGTATATCCACAATGGAAATGTGGACAGGATAAATCTCAATAAAATCACACAGGAAAAAGGGAAACAACGGAGCACCTTAGCTTTTGTCTTTATTCAAGACATCTTCAGAGGCTTCTGAAGATGTCTTGAATAAAGACGAAAGCTAAGGTGCTCCATTGTTTCCCTTTTCCTGTGTGATTTTATGGAGATGTAATCTATAGTGTATCATGTAGTTGTTATTTTGGGTTATTTACTTACCCATGTAATTGTTTAATTATTTATGGAATACTGTACTATTCATTATTATGATTGAAACTTTCATTAATTTGATATTTTTTCTCTTATCAAAACATTTAAATGATAATAATAAAATAATAATAATAATAATAATACAAGCTGTTGCTTAGTATTACCCCTGATGCCATTATCCCTTGAGCGCTTCAAGGGGTGAATCTTGAGGTGATGCTCGTAAAGTTATCCAAGTAATATTTCCCTTTAACAGGGTCTTTAACACAGTCTAAAGTAGAGTAGAAGTGAAAGTCTTGACGGTGTATAATTATGATGGAGGTGCCGAAGAAAGAAACACACTAAACCACAGTTAATAAATAATGTATTTCTCCTAAACACGAAGTACTGTATATTGAAACTATTGACAAACGTAAGTTAGAATTAAAAAAAAAAGTTAAACATTGAAGTTTAACACCAAGACAGATACAAAAAAAAATAAATAAAAAGACTATCTTGAGGCCGACCTGTTGTACGAGAGGTCGAGAGTGATGAGTTCTGAGAGCTCCTTGAAGGCGTCATCCTCCAGGTTTATGAGGCGGTTGTGAGACACATTAAGGAACACCAGACCTGGAGCCTCCACCAGGGACGACTTCTTCACCGCCTCTGTAAGTCGGTAAATGATGAGTGCTATTCTGTCCTCTTCCTGTAGGTGTAGTGAAGGAGAAGAAGGGAAGAAGAGAGGGAGAAAGAGGGAGGAAGAGAGGGAGAAAGAGGGAGGGAACAAGGGAGAGAGAGAGAGAGAGAGAGAGAGAGAGAGAGAGAGAGAGAGAGAGAGAGAGAGAGAGAGAGAGAGAGGGGAGAGAGAGAGAGGAGGGGGAGAGAGAGAGAGGAGAGGGAGAGAGGGAAAAGAGAAGGAGAGAGGGAAAAAAGATGGACAGAAGGGCAACTCAGACATTAGTTTTAGTGTAGGAAAGGAGAGAGGAATGAGAGAACATAAGATGATAAGAACATAAGAATGGAGGAAACTACAGCGGGCCTATTGGCCTATACTGGGCAGTCCCGTTTACACCCAACCCCTATTGCTCATATATCCATCCAACCTACTGTATGTTTGAAGCTATCCAACGTATTCGAGTTAATGATGATATTTAGTAACTTGTTCCACTCATCCACTACTCTATTTCCAAACCAACGTTTACCTATCTCGCGCATAAATCTAAATTTGTCAAATTTAAAACTATTGCTACGAGTTTGAGTACCTTTGTTATATCACCTTTGTTTAACCCTGACTTCCATTTATACACCTCGATTATATCGCCCCTTAATCTACGTCTCTCGAGGGAATGCAAATTAAGATGCCTTAACCTGTCTCTGTACTCAAGGTTCCTAATGCCCGGGATTAGTCTCGTCATTCTCTTCTGAATTCTTTCTAGGGATTCTATATCCATTCTGTAGTACGGTGACCAGAACTGAACTGCGTAATCCAAGTGAGGTCTCGCAAGCACAAGATATAGTTTTAGGATAACCTCGCTAGTCTTGTAACTAACACTCCTTGTATGAACTAAAAGTACCGTGTTGGCCTTGTTTCGAGCAAATACACAGTGTTGACTTTAGTTTAATACATTTGGAAGAATCCCTTGGGATTTGACTTCGCCTCCCTTGCTACCTTCAATTCATTATTCCACTTTTCTTTTATCTCGGTCCTAACCCTACTGGTCAATACCTAATAATAATTTTGAGGAGAAGGGAATGGAAGAGAAGGGAATGGAAGAGAAGGGAAGGGAAGAGCAACTCACAGCCATTTATTTTGACAAAGGAGGGGAGAAAGGGTTTAGGAAAGGTAAAAAGTAGGAATTTTTGGGGTAAGTGTTATGGTGCAGTCAGACGAAGAAATCTACCCACATATGGCTGCTACACCAAACATGCTCTCACACTTGAGTCATAAAATATACCTTGGTTAGCATGTTTATGCATCATTAAACAGAAAATTGCTTGATATATTCCATATTCTTTCCTTCATGTGTAAAAAGGAATATTTCACAGCCTAATGATGCTTCCCTCACCTATATCATTTTCCTGCAAGGTGAGAACTTTAAGATTTGCCAAGCCTCGGAGAGCAGTGGAGGGCATGGCCAGGAAGCTGTTGCCCTCCAGATGTAGGACCTGCAGATCCTTGAGAGAGGTGAGGAGGCCAGTGTCCAGCTCGCGGATGTGGTTGTAGGCCAGGTTGAGAGTCTGTAAATGTGGTGGAAAGTAATCAAAGGGATCATTTATGTCTCAGGTCTTACAACATACAATCTCAAAAAATTAATACACACCGCTTATCAGATTTTGTGGCGACCGTGTGAGTGTTTGTATTGTATTACAAAAACAACATTGTTCTACAGTAATTTGTCCGAGTTTTTGCACATCACCAAGTGAAGACAATGTGTAAAGCAACATTGTCCTAGCATGTGAGATACTTCGGATATCAAAAAGTGAGGACAATGTTGCTGTTATAATACAAACATTCACAGAGTCTATAAGAAATTGTGTATTCATATTTTAAACTGCATTATAAAATATTCACAACTGTGAGTGTCTACACACACAAGGGCACCACAAATAACAACAATAACATCAATGGTTAGTACTTGTAAGATTATTTTAAGTATTTCCATGATAATTTTAAGGTTAATTCATGAATGTTTTAAAGATTCTTTTGGATTATTTTTAAAATATTTTTATAGCACAGTATTATTTACCATGTGACTATATTAAATATCGTAATTTTATATTGTTGTTCCACATTCATGTTTATAACTAATTTATGGTTTATTATTCCAAGTGACTCTCCCTGCTGCCCTCTCTTCCTCTTTCCTTCCTTCCATCCCTTTTCCTTCCTCTCCCTCTGTCTACCTCCCATTTCCCTTTCCTCCACCATCTACCCTCCCCACGTCCCTTCTCATCCATCCTCTACCATCCTCCCCATGTCCCTTCCCATCCATCTTCTACCCTCCCCACGTCCCTTCTCATCCATCCACTACCCTCCTCCCCATGTCCCTTCCCATCCATCCTCTACAGCTACCCATTTCCCTTCCCATCGATCCTCTACCCTCCTCATGTCCCTCCCACTCCACTCTACCTTTCCCTCCCTTCTCCTACCCCTCCAACTCTCCCTTCCCTTCCCCTCCCCTCTCTTTTCCTCTCCCCTACCCCTCCCCTCTCCCTTTCCCACCCCATACACTTTCCTCTCCCCTATCCCTTCACCTCCCTCTACCCTTCCACCTCCCCCTACCCCTCTCCATCTCACCTGTAGGGCGGTAAGCTTGGCTATCTCGGAGGAGGAGAAGGTGGGGAGATAGTTGCTCCCCAGCAGGTTGTGGTCAAGTCGTAGCTCCTGAAGGTGACTCTCCAGACCCTCGAGCACGTCCTTGTTCAAGCGGCGGATGGCGTTCCTCGAGAAGTCCACCTGTAGGAACCCGAAACAGGTGGTGAGTGTGGGTAGGTAGGTTGGTGTGAGTGTATAATAATAATAATAATAATAATAATAATAATAATAATAATAATAATAATAATAATAATAATACTGTAATAATAATAATAATAATAAACGGTTTATTAATAGAGTTGCAGCAGGTGGCTGAAAATATACAAACTTACATGTGATTTAGACATAATAATATACATTCAATACACTTACAGGGCTGTACAGTACATGAATCAGGAGTTGTTTATTATTTTAACAATAGATGAGATAGTACTGTTCTTATATCTATCAGTGTGGGCTTTTATGGGCTGAATTTTGTTGTAGTGGCAGACTGCACGAAATGGGCGGGGGACTGCCAGTGGCAGTAGGTGGCGATGACGAGGATGGTGCAGTAGTCCACTGCCAAACCCTGCTATTGCGTGGTGGTGGAGGTCACAGAGGGATGGCATTTCCAGGGTGGAGAGAGAGTTGTTGTAGCCCGAGTAGTCTGCGCCGAGCATGATTCTGCAGGCCCTCTTCTGTACATTCTCTAGCTGACGTTGTTGGGTAGAGTTGAGAGAACACGATCAGGTTGGTGACGTATACGTTAATTTGGGGAGAATAAATGCGTTGTAGATAGTCCTCAGCTTTGGCGTGGGTGCCCCAAGTGACCTGAGTCGATGTAGCATGTAGAGTCGGTACGAGGCTGCCGTGATTGTGTTGTTTACATGGGCCTTCCGGTCCAGTTTGTGGTCTATAGTTACAGCCAGGAGTTTGGCAGACTGCACTAACTGAAGAGGATGGGCACCCACTGTAACTGCTGGAGCTTGAACTGGAGTGGTGGCGGTATTGACTACGGTTTTGGTGTGGTTGATGGTGACCTTGTTCTCCGTAGACCATGCCTGTAGCTTGTCCAGGGTGCCTTGTAGCGATGAATAGTCTGGTGAGGTGTTGTCCACTGTAACCCCCACAGTGCAGTCATCCACATACTTCCACCTGTGAGGAGTGTCCAATAGAGCGTCGTTGATCAGGATTAGGAAGCACAGTGGTCCCATCTTGGTCCCCTGGGGAACACCGCAGGTGAGGTGTTGGAATGTGGAGACAGAACCCTGGTACCTCACTGCCTGACGACGCTCACTCAGGAAATCAGTGAGCCATAAGACCAGGTTGGTGGGCAGCCCTAGTGCAACGGCCTTGTTGATAACAGTGCAGTAATCAACAAGGTTAAAAGCCTTCCTGAAGTCAACAAGGGCAACGGCCAGTGATGTCTTATGTTTCTCCAGGTTTTTGTGCAGAAAATCCAGGAAGATAACTAAGCAGTGTGATGTAGAGGAGGTCCTCATATTGCCAAATTGTTTTGGTTCAATTGACTGATAAATACTAGCAAATGCCCATTCAAAAACGAAGTCTTCACAGAGTAGACTGGATATGAGGGTAATGGCAACTGGCCTGAGGTCACTAGGGGACTATGAGGTGGGGACCTTGGGGATAGGGGTGACAAATGCGGTTTTCCATTCATTAGAGCATTTGCTTTGTCTAAGGGATGCAGTAATAATGGAACAGAGGGGGGTGGCAAGTTCGACTGCAAACTCCTTGTAAATTTTGATTGGGAGGTCAATTGGGGTTGTAGAGCATTTGGATTTAAATTTCAGAGAGTTTGTTGGCAATTTCAAATTGTTGAACACTGGGAGGGGAGGAGGGGGAGGGTAAGTAGGCCGGGAGGAGAGTGAGGTCAAGACTGGGTAGGGTATGATATATGGTAGCAAAGTGGTTATTAATTGTCCCAGCTGCCTCTGTGTGTGTATGTGTGTGGCAGAGATGCTGACTTATGGCAGGGAACCATAGGGAGAAACGGAGTACACAAGTGTGTGTGTGTGTGTGTGCGTGTGCGTGTGTGTGCGTGTGTGTGCGTGTGTGTGCGTGTGTGTGTGTGTGTGTGTGTGTGTGTGTGTGTGTGTATGTTTTATGGTTTTTTTTTACAGAGTATCGCCCACCCGGGCACAGGTCATCGACCCACAATGGAGGCGAAAAAAGAGGAGTAAAAAGAAATTAAAAATATTAATCTACACCACAAAGATGCCGAAAAACCAGCTTTTTGAAGTGAGACACATTGTACGAGTATGGAAACACAGAAGAAGGCAGAGCATTCCACAGTTTGGCAGTGTGAAGAAAGAAGGATGTACTATAATGGGTTATTCTAGTGTGACCGACATCCACAGAGAAACGGTGGGCACCGCGGGCAAGACGAGTAATACGAGCCCTCGGCCTTGCCGGCGGTACACAGGATGCCAAATCCACCTAACATTGACCGTTAAAGTACCTGTAAAAGAGAGAGAGTGAAGCATCATTGCGGTGTAAGAGAAATGGAAGAAAGATTATCAACTAAAGGTGGAGAGTAACAAAGGTAACAATGGTGACAATTAGTGAAGGATAAAAAAGGATGGCTTACCTTCCTAAGGGGCAGGTCAGAGGGTGGCTTACTTTCCTGAGGGGCAAGTCAGAGGGTGGCTTACCTTCCCGAGTGGCAGGTCAGAGGGTGGTTTACCTTCCTGAGGGGCAAGTCAGAGGGTGGCTTACCTTCCTGAGGGGCAGGTCAGAGGGTGGCTTACCTTCCCGAGTAGCAGGTCAGAGGGTGGCTTACCTTCCTGAGGGGCAGGTCAGAGGGTGGCTTACCTTCCTGAGGGGCAGGTCAGAGGCGGTAAACAGCTGTCCTCTAAGGGCCTGGATGCCTGCGTTCCTCTGGGTGAACTCCACAATGTTCATCCTTTTAGAAGAAAGAATTGATGATCACCATATATAATGTTCATAGGTCCTCGTGGTGGAGGAGAGGAGGAAGGAGCTACTACAGTATATATATGTTCAATGGATGTTCATAGATCCTGTACCTCTACCATACACCTGTACCTCTACCATACACCTGTACCTCTACCGTACACCTGTAACTGTTCCTATACATTAGACCAGTGGTCCCTAGCCTTGTGTAGGCTCTGGGCCTCATTTATCATTGGAAATATAGTGGAGGGCGCCAAGACTTTGGATCTACATTCAAGAAAAAAAATCATATATACTGTACAGTTATTAGCTGTTTTACACAAGTCTAACTCTTACCATTTGCATTCATTTTACATTTACTCATGGATCATGCATTCTTAAAACGTATGAAGTTATTACATTTTTTCATTACTTTCACTCTGACAAAGAATCCCCAAAATTTCACATTTGCTAATAAGCCCTTGCGGGCTCCATAATATGGTCGCCCGCGAACTACAGGTTGGGGACCACGTATTAGACTGTATAATATCTCACTTGAAGGGCAGCAGGGGGAAGTCCCCGGCGAAGGCCACATTATCACAGTTAATGGTTATATTGTGGTCACTGTTCTGACACAGACAGGGCAAGATGAGGCGGTCGCTCACTTCCACGCAAGGAAGCTGACCCACGGTCCTTCTCCACGTCAACGCCGCCGTCACCACCGTCAACGTCAGAGCCACCGCCTTCATGCCTGTGGGAGACATAGTCATTAACATGTTTATATGGAAACGATTAACGAAGAGTACATACATACATAAATAAATAATGGTTGCCCCTTGTGTAACGAGGATGGCCGGTCCTAGGACCACCTAGGCGTGAACTTGTTTAGGTGTAGATGCTGTCGCCAACACAACAACCACACCCTAAGTTAACGAGCTGCATGACCCAGTGTCAAGGAATAGTCCGAGAATACCGGACAACTCGCCAACTGCACTGGCTAACCATTACCCTGGAATACGATCCGCAAATCGATTAACATTCAGGTTCCCAATTACTGCTGGCTAGACAGAGGCAAATGGCGTAAAGAAACTTGCCCATAGTTTCACCCTGACGGGGGATCGTACTCGGGTCCGCTCGCTTGCGAGGCGAGAATGCTGACCATTGCATCATACATACACTTGCTAAAATATGTAATTGTACATTGAGCCAGAGAGTAAATACGAATTTATAGAGATATGGATATTATTGACCCCAGGCTGGATTATAGACGCTTCTTGTGCCTTATTGTGATAGTATAATCGGGCCATACTTAATACAGGTCTCTTGGGGTTTGTTAATATTTTGTATACGTGTGAAGAGAGAGAGAAAGAGCAGGAGCAAAGGTCTTATGGTTACCTTGCGGGAGAATGATATCCTCTCTCTCACACCTACACTCATACACCTACTAAACACAAATACTCATACTACACACACACATATATATATATATATATATATATATATATATATATATATATATATATATATATATATATATATATATATATATATATATATATATATATATATATATATATATATATATATATATATACACATGCACGCACGCACGCACGCACGCACACTTGCCCTACAGGTGTCCTCCGTCAGTGTTCACCCTCAGGCGATACCATCCTGACTGGGGGTGACTCTCTCTCTCTCTCTCTCTCTCTCTGCTTATTAGATAGATAAATACAGTAGATAGATAGATAGATAGATAGATAGATAGATAGATAGATAGATAGATATAGATAGATATAGATAGATGAAAGAGAGAGAAAGATAGATATGAGAGAGAGAGAGAGAGAGAGAGAGAGAGAGAGAGAGAGAGAGAGAGAGAGAGTAGTAGTAGTAGTAGCAGTGGTAAACAAGATCCAAAGGTCCATTACGACAGAACGGCCAAAGTGACAAGTTGCAGCAACTATTGCTGCAAATACCAGAGAATTTAAAGAAAAAAGTAGCTATAGTGCAGGCGGTGGGCGCCTCGAACTGGTTACTACGTTACCGATAAGGGCAAATGGTTTCAGTCTCAATAAACAAGAATTTACAGATGCCATTGCTCTTAGGTACGGTTGGCCAGTAGAAGGTTTGCCCTCCCAATGCGTGTGTGGCTCTTCCTATGACGTCGATCACGCCATGGTGTGCAAGAAAGGGGGCTTCATATGCATGAGGCATGACGAGGTAAGGGACCTTACAGCAAATATGTTGAAGGAAATCTGCCGGGATGTCATGGTAGAACCGACCCTCCTTCCATTGGATGGTGAGATCCTCCAACATAGGACTTCAAACACATCTAACGAAGCCCGTGTTGACGTCAGTGCTCGAGGATTCTGGACGCGGGGACAGCGAGCTTTCTTCGACATCAGGATTTTTGATCCCATGGCCGCATGTCACCGTAACCTAGCTCTCGATGCTGCACACAGGAGGAACGAGAACGACAAGATAAGGGCATATGGGGAAAGAATTCAAAATGTTGATCAAGGCAGCTTCACTCCTCTCGTGTTCACAACCTCTGGTGGGATGGGACCAAGTGCAAGATGTTTCTACGCCAGACTTGTGGAGGTGATCTCCGAACAGAAGCAGCAGCCCAGAAGTTATGTTGCAGCCTGGATGAGATGTCGACTGTCCTTCTCTCTTCTTCGGTCGGCTTTGCTCTGCCTCAGGGGAACGAGAGCTTCGTCCTCAATGCCGACAACAACTGCAGATATTGACTATGAGGCTACAGTCACTGAATGCCGCATAGATCTGCGGCTCAACTAATTCAACACAGATAGGATAGCTACTTATGTATTAGGATATTTAATATTAAGGTAATAAAATGGCAGCGAAGGTGTGGCTATTGGGGGAGGCTGGAGGCCACGTTGAAAAAAAAAAGTAGTAGTAGTACATAGGGAAGTAAACACTACATCACATACTTGTAATACTGTCCTCTTCTTCAGCACATCTACATGAAGCACCTCACCTGTAACGAGAAATAATATTAATAACAATAATAATAATAATAATAATAATAATAATTATAATAATAATAATAAACACACAGCGGCCTCAACACAGTACAGTACATACATAAGGTTAGGCCACATATCTACTGTATTATACAACAGAACGACCCGGCGTGGAATTATATGGGCGTGGAGTTACGAATGTGTACTCCTGGGCGTGGTCGAGGTCATGTGGGGGGTCCATGATCAAATAGTTGATGGTATGTAGAATTGAGACCACTGATATCTCTCTCTCTCCCTCTCGCTTTCCCCTCTCTGTCACCCCCCCCCTCCCTACTTTAGGTCACCCCAGCCTAGCCACTACCCCCAAGCCACAAGTCCCAGCCGCCCCTCTCTGCCACCCCATCACAGCCACCATCCTCCCTCTCATCACCCTCCCAGCCACCATCCTCCCTCTCATCACCCTCCCAGCCACCATTCTCCCTTTCATCACCCTCCCGGCCACTACTCTCCCAGCCACCATCCTCCCTCTCATCACCCTCCCACCCACTACTCTCCCAGCAACCATCCTCCCTCTCATCACCCTCCCAGCCACCATTCTCCCTCATTACCCTCCCAGCCACTACTCTCCCAGCCACCATCCTCCCTCGCATCACCCTTCCAGCCACTACTCTCCCAGCAACCATCCTCCTCCCATCACCCTCCCAGCCACCATCATCCCTCTCATCACCCTCCCAGCCACCATCCTCCCTCTCATCACCCTCCCAGCCCCTCCACCAACCATTCTCCCTCTCATTACCCTCCCAGCCACTACTCTCCCAGCCACCATCCTCCCTCATCACCCTTCCAGCCTCCCAGCAACCATCCTCCCCTCCCATCACCCTCCCAGCCACCATCATCCCTCTCATCACCCTCCCAGCCACCATCCTCCTCTCATCACCCTCCCATTCTCCCTCATTACCCTCCCAGCCACTACTCTCCCAGCCACCATCCTCCCTCGCATCACCCTTCCAGCCACCACCTCCCTCTCATCACCCTCCCAGCCACCATCCTCCCTCTCATCACCCTCCCAGCACCATCATCCCTCTCATCGCCCTCCCAGCCACCATCCTCCCTCTCATCACCCTCCCAGTCACTACTTTCCCAGCCACCATCATCCTTCTCATCACCATCCCAGCCACCATCATCCCTCTCATCACACTCCCAGCCACCATCATCCCTCCCATCACACTCCCCAACCACCATCATCCCTCTCATCACCCTCCCAGACACTACTCTCCAAGCCACCACGCTCCTTCACATCACCCTCCCAGCCACTACTCTCCCAGCAACCATCCTCCCTCTCATCACCCTCCCACCCACTACTCTCCCAGCCACCATCCTCCCCTCATCCACCTCCCCTCCCAGCCACTACTTTCCCCCACCATTCTCCCTCTCATCACTCTCCCAGCCACCACCCTCCCTCTCATCACCCTCCCAGCCACTACTGTCCCAAGCCACCATCCTCCCTCTCATCACCCTCCCAGCCACCATCCTCCCTCTCATCACCCTCCCAGCCACCATCCTCCCTCTCATCACCCTCCCAGCCACCACCCTCCCTCTCATCACCCTCCCAGCCACTACTCCCCCAGCCACCATCCTTCCTCTCATCACCCTGCCAGCCACCATCCTCCCTAGTGAGCGAGTGTAGATGAGTGAGTTTGTTGACGTTTTGTGGATATATGCCTCAGGCAGTACACCTTTCACCCACAACACCCCAGGCATACACCCGCTCCCTAGCAACACTCCAGGCAGGGCCGGATTCAGGAGTGGGCGAAGTGGGCCCATGGGCCTCCACAATCTGGGGGGCCTCCACATATTACAATATTTTATTTATTGGTTTATTCATTTGGATTATTTTTATTTTCATTCTTTAAAATTCATGTTTATCTATTCCATCGCGTAAAACTATGTTCAGCAAGAAGCGTGATAGAAATTAGGCTAGCTACTCCTTGATATTCATGAATACCTGGTTTTTCTATGAACCGTATATTTTTAATGAATGCTATTGTTTGTGTTGCTAATAATATATTTAGAATTCCACAAACATATATTGATTAAAAATGAACTACATGGAATAACGAAATTGAGATTAAAAAACATAAAATATTTTTTCATTATCACTTCCATTACGAATGCCATCAGGGCGCTGTGTTTGTTGACAGTCAGTCGGAGGGGGTTGGGTCGTGTAGTATCTGCACATCAGTTGTTATGTGTCTGTCGATTAAAGAGGAGACTTGCATTGCCCATGATTCGTGAACTTCCCACGAGTAGACATAAATATGTCTTGCAGATGTCAGTCAGAAAAATTTCGGGTTCAGAATTTCCTTCCAGCAATTGATCAGTTCCTGAGTTCACTGGATCAACGGTTAAAGGCCTATGAGGAAACCTGTTCACTTTTCGGGTTCTTGTCTAAACTGGAGTCAATGAATTGTGAAGAAATTGAAGCAGCTGCTGCAAAATTGGTTGCCGAGTACAAAAATGATTTGGATCAAACACTTGGGAGTTCAACTTGTGCAGTTTACAGCATTCTTCACTCAATTTCTTGAAGACGAAGATGATGAGAAAGGGAGGGCACATTACCTTTACAAGCTGTTGATAGACAAGAAAGTTGTAGATACATTTCCAAATGTTGAAATAATGCTACGGATGTACTTGGTGCTCATGGTCACAAATTGTTCTGGGGAACGTTCTTTCAGTAAAATGAAGTCATTAAAAACAGACTTCGTACTACAATGTGTCATGATAGGCTCAGCCACCTGGCTTTGATGAGTATCGAATATGACATCCTCAGAGAGATTGACTTCGAAAAGTTGGTCAAAAACTTTGCAGCGGCCAGGTCATGTAAAGTGCCTGGTCTGTAAATAAAGGTAATGTTTATTTTCTATTTTGCAATTGATCAATGTTTGTATTCAATATATCCATTATCCATGGTCGATGGCAGTTATTTTTATTAAAATTCTTGTTTTTTCCAACATGTTCATACTTTTGTTATAATTTTATCAAATTCATTAAATTGTTTATTTGTTTTACAATTGGATGCAAAACTTCAATTTTATTTATAGTTGAGTTAATACTTATTCTGAATCTATCTGACCTTGGACTTAAAGAAGCCTATACATGCATTGGACAGAACCATTATTTGAGTAGAGGTTTATCTGATTACTAATGCAAAGAATCATCTCTCTGTAATAACTAATAATATATTCTTTTCTGTGAACTCTTGAAAATTTTTGACATGTGCGGTAGTAGCTATATCAGGGCTGGTCGACTTGAAACCACATGAATGACTCCAGTCATGTCTCACTTTTGTGTGTGTGTTTGTGTTGGGAATTTGTACAGTCTCGTTCAAGATTCTTCGAACATTGCTGGAGACAGCTGGCAACTCAAGACAGTTTGTTCACTATAGTACGTAGTAAAAATTATGAATAAATGTAAAAGTGATCGGTGATTGGTTACTTAGTTCCCCGTTGCTTAATTTAATGGTTGGGCTTTGTTGTTTCGTATTATATTATACTACGTACTATAGTAAACAAACGGCCTTGAGTTGTCAGCTGTCTCCAACAGTGTTCGAAGAATCTTGAACGAGACTGTACACTATCAATAAATATACAGTTAATTAAAAATTTCTCAGTGTTCTAATTTCCTCAATATAACTGCAAATGGCTTCAAAATTCTCCAAAGAAGTGTTCAAATTTCAAAATTTTCCCGGGGGGCTTACAGCGCCCCCGGAACTCCCAGATGTTGAGGCTCGCTGCACTCACCACCCCACCCTCTTGGGTAGTTATAATGAGGGGGGCCTCCACAAAGAGGCTGCCCATGGTCCTCCACAGGTCTAAATCCGGCGCTGCCTCCAGGCAGTACACCCCTCACCCACAACACCCCAGTATGTTACTGAGTGCCACCCAGTAACTCGCCCACTCAGTGAGTGGGCGAGTTACTGGATAAGTGACTGAAAAATAGCAGCAGGCAACTCCACAATTCCATTACCTAACTCTGGTCACACTCTCAGTCTTCATAAAAAAAAAGAGCGAATTTCCGGATCACGTTGGGAAGGGAATCAGAGCGCGGTTTCACAGTGACTGGCCAACAACAAGACCTAAACAACACTAAGGTGACTCCATGAAACCTTCGTGAGATCCAAAACCCCGATTAAGTGTGATTTCCACTCGAAAAATCAATTTAAAATCTATATAACGGAGGTCGGAAATAACAGCACGCCAACACCGCTCAACAGCAGATTAATTCCTCTAACTCCGAACAATAAGCTTTTAGTTACACTTGATGAACATTAAAATACCGGGAAAAAATATTCGTTTATGCACCCATTCAGAGATCGCTTTATGTCATAGAGATAATTTCACCACCAAGACGCTAGAACACCTTTTTTCTAAACCATGGACTTTCTGCACTAATTCTTGGGATTTCTTTTTCTTTTCCAAAGGACACGTCAAGGAAGGGAAAGTACTGTCACTCACACTAACAAACAATTGGACTTTTGAGTCTTTTGTCGTCAGCACAGACATGTGTCACTTATTGCACAACGTCAATTTAAAGTCTTTCGCTTCATTTTGTTGTCGTCAAAGTTTGCGATTAAGTATATATTTTCCTTGTTGGATTTTTATTATTTGTCTGTTGCTGTCATCAGTAGACATGTTGTAATTGCTGTTAATAATAATAATAATAATAATAATAATAATAATAATAATAATAATAATAATAATAATAATAATAATAATAATAATAATAATTAGTGTTGTTACTACAAATCATCTACTAATACACACAACAGCGACCCCAAAACTGAATTATGACAAAACATAAAAGACCATTCCACTCGCTTACCCCCTAACGACCAGCCTCTCATAACCACCCACCAACGATTCCTATCATATGGATGAGGTACAGTACGTGGGCAGGGGTATACGGAAAGAAGTGGGCGGAGATCCGTCATGGAACAGACGTGTCGTGGGCGTGG